GAAGTCCAAGTCCATTCGCATCGAATCGCAACGCTCAAGCTCGACATCGGAAGAAAAACACCACTCTTGATCGTCCAAATATACGCTCCTCATAAAGACTATGGAGTGGACGAAATCCAGAACTTCTACTCGGAAGTAGAAAAATACTTAGACCAACCGGCGCACCAGAAGATCATTATAGGTGACTTTAACGCTCAATTAGGACCAAAGAACTCTAACCAGAAATACTTAGGTAACTTCACAAGCGGCACCTGGGACAAGAACGAAACCGGAGAGCTGCTGGCTGATTTTGCCGACGCAAACAAGCTTTTTGTAAGTAACACTTTCTTTCAGAAACCATCGAACAAGAGGTGGACATTCGAATCAACCAACATCAACAAGACAAGACACGAAATCGACTTTGGACTATGTACTGATCGACTTATGGTGACAAACGTAGAATTCCTCAGTCGACTCGATATCGGTAGTGATCACCGCCCGGTAAGATTCACACTCAACGTCGCCATCAAAAAGCAAAGACCACCGATGATAAAATCAGGTCGAACTCTAAATGAAGCCATTATACAACGAGAAATCGCTAAACACGACTGGACGACCAACGGGTCGCTGTCTACAAAGTTCGCTAAGATTCAACAGCAACTAAAAACATGCGCCGACGCTGCGTCCATGAAAAAACCGTGTCGATCCCGCTTCTCAAATGAAACGAACCAACTCCTGCTGAAGAGAAAAGGTCTGAATCGTCACGCAAATCAAATCGAATTCGTCGAACTCAGTAAGTTGATCCGAAAGAAGATCCGCGCAGATCACGACAAGTTCCGAACCGAGAGACTACTAAAAACCATCGCCGAACGTCGAAGTCTCAAGAAATGCAATCGAGAATTACGTCAACAGAATGCCACAATGAGTGCACTGAAGGCCGAAGATGGAACACATCTCACTAAACGTTTTGACATGGAGCGAAGAGTTCAAGAATTCTACACATCACTATTCGCCTCTAAAACTACAGTACCGCTCGATAAAGACCATCGCGAAGAAGAAGACGTGCCTTCGATTCTTATCTCCGAAGTTCAAGCAGCTGTCGAAAATCTGAAAGCCGAAAAAGCACCCGGTCCCGATAGTATCACAAACGAAGTACTTAAGGCCGGTGGCTACGAACTATGGAAGGTACTGACCAAGCTTTTCAACGAATGCTTGGAAAATGAAGACATACCGACTCAATGGAAGAAATCATCAACTATCATCATCCTGAAGAAAGGTGACCGCGAAGATCTGAAGAACTACCGACCTATCGCGCTTCTCCCAACAATCTACAAGACCTTCACCAAAGTGCTAGTCAACCGAATGACTCGACAGCTAGATGATCAACAACCATGCGAACAAGCAGGTTTCCGAAGTGGTTTCTCGACGATCGACCACCTCCAAGTTATAAACCAAGTCCTGGAACGCACTCGAGAGTGCAAGATCCCAATGTGCATGATTTTCGTAGACTACGAGAAGGCTTTCGACTCCATTGAGATAAATGCCGTTGCAAACGCACTGGTCCGCCAGAACGTTTCGAAGAAATACGTCCGAACGCTCCTAAACATCAATACAGGCTGCTCAACATCAATCCGACTGTTCCACAACGACATCGAGATCCCCGTCAACCGAGGCGTACGCCAAGGTGATACTATCTCTCCAAAGCTGTTCACCGCCGCTCTTGAAGACGTATTTCGCAAGCTCAATTGGAAAAAGCGAGGCATCATGGTCGACGGAAAACCGCTCAACCACCTTCGCTTCGCAGATGATATCGTCCTTTTCGCACACGACGTAAAAAGCGCAGCAGATTTGCTAAAGGAACTAAATGAAGCAAGCACGCAAGTCGGTCTCCGAATCAACAGGGCCAAGACCCAAGCGATGAAAAACGAACAATGCGCTATGGAAACGATCACTTTGGACAATGATGCCATTCTGTTCGTTGAGAAGTACACATACCTTGGACAAATGATTACATACGACCATAAGATCGACGACGAGATCCGAAGGCGACGAAGTGCGGCGTGGCTAAGCTTCAAAAATATCGAATACGTCCTGAAGAAGACGAAGGACATCAAGCTACGTGCACATTTATTCAACTCAATGGTCTTACCAGTACTCAACTATGGCTGTGAAGTGTGGACTATACGAGAAGGTGACAGACAAAAGCTTCAAACTACCCAAAGAGCTATGGAACGACGTATACTCAACATCAGGTTGATTCAGAAGGTCGCAAGCAGTACCATCCGCCAACGAACTCAATTTAAGGACGCCTACATCGACGCGCTCCAACGAAAATTTCGATGGGCCGGACACGTAGCTCGATACGAAGACAATCGATGGACCAACCGCACGACCTTCTGGTGGCCATACAACTTCAAACGGCCGAGGGGAAGACCCGCAGACCGATGGCGAAAGCTTATGCAAGACAAGATGGGGAAAAATTGGCATCAGCTGGCGAGAAACCGTACAGCATACAAGAAGAATACAGCTGAAGTGCTTTCATCGATGTTAACTTCTTAAATTTTCTTTTTTGTTAAATTTTTTTGTTAACTTAGATCGAAATAAAGCTATTGATTGATATTCGAAGAGGCCATATGAAAATTTCGTTACACTTACATGCAGTAATTCAGGATATACATATGAATACTTTATTTTCGTAGATTATGATTATTCTCATGATAATAATACTAAAGCATTAAATCAATTTTTTCAGTTCTAAAATAAAAGTACTATAGCATTTGCTTAACAACAATGCAAATTCATGATTCATAAATCTAAAATAAAAAAGCCTAATATTGCAAAAATTATCCATATATTATATCATCAATATCAAAAGGATATTTCGATTATATCACTTAAGTAAAACTATATTTTCAAAGTTCTATGTTCTAATATTGATGCTTGATTGATTTAGTTTTCACAATCATAAATAATACTAGTTATAGTAAGTATGTCACATTAAGTCACAACATAGATAAGAGACGAAATAACTTCACAAAAAATATTTATGTAGATATAAAATGAATCTTATATATGATCAATACAATACTCTATCTAAATTTTTATTGTCTCTTTTTTATTTTCTATATAAGATATAATGAAGAAAAAACTGCTCAGTATTATAATAACCGACAATTTCTTGAAGCAATTCTTCATTACTCTAATTTATTTATAGTTGTAAGAATATTTAAGTTGAAGTAGTGCATTTTCTATGATAACAAAAGATGTCGGTGTGACTGTAATCCTTTTAACCTTCACACCCACCCTATTTAAAATAAAACGAAAATAAGAATGATATTTATTTTATTCGAAATAAAACATATACTATGGTAAACAACAATTAAATCTGTTTGTAGAATTATTATGAATAACATAGTAAATTAAAGATTGCTACGTAACATAGACATATTATGTGTTTCAGCTTGAGTAACTGGCATAAGATTTTGATTTGAATGGCAACATCGTTTCATAATCTTGATCAATTCTTTACGAAAAATAGTTCCAGTTAATGTATACATATAGAAGCTACTTATGTGTGCAAAATAGGGTATTGTACCTGTAACTCGATATATTAAATTTTCTACAGCCAGTCGAAGTCCATCTTTGACTAAACTTGCAGTATACCATCCGTAAATTTGAACAATACAGAATGGTAAAGTAAAAATGATAATAACAAATACTTGAGTAATTAACATACGTAAAAGTTGAGTATCTGTACGTCGGACAACTGAATTATTTCCAGGACCTACGGGAACAATTTGACGATGTCGACGAAGATTTATAATTGTAAGAAAACCAAAGAGAAGCATTAATAACGATGGAAAAAGAGAATATAAAATCAAATACCAGAATACATCGAATGAACGATCAATACCTTTTCTGCTATTGCATGTTGATACAATATTACCAGATCCATTAGTCGAATAGGTTAAATCATAATAAATAATCATAGGTGAATATAATATAATGATGAGACTACTGATAAATGCTGTTGCTATTCGTGCTATTTTAAGTGAACTCATTCGACGAATTTGAACTTTTGCTGAACTATTGAAATATCTATCGATAGACGCTAATACAATTAACCAACAGGATATTGTACGAATGACATGAAAAATATAAACTTCTGTTTTACAAATTACAATATTGTATGTAGAAATATCTATATTGTATCCATCTGAAAGAATACGTATAGGCATAATTACAAATACAACCAATAAACTATAACATGTTGACCAGAAAAAATATACTGCACATGGTTCACGACGTAAAAATGGACGCATAAAAACAAGAATGTTTAACGTAAGACCAATTGCACCAAAACCAAAACTAAAAAATGATAAAACCATAACACTTATTGTTGTTGCTGTATTTATTTGATTAATCGTAACGTTAATAGATGACATCTTATTTAACTAATTATTTATTTTTCAATCCTTATTCATAATACACAATCTAAATATGATAAAAATCTTTATACTTATTTACATTGAAGGCAAACGCTAGTTTTATTACTTTTCAACCGTCTTTTTTTTCTAATAAAGCCGCAGGTAAAAAATAATCTTTCTAGAATGTAATTTTAATAGTCTTTCACAGCATTCTTGAAAATTATTTTATACATCAAAATCTCTTCATGTAAAAATAGATCTACGTTCTAGAATAGAATTAAATATGAAAATTGACCTCGTTTTAATTAAAGAACATCAATTATTCAGTTTTGGAATTAACTGTTAATGAGAATATGAATAAATGTAAGATTAATATTTTATTATGAATGTAACATAGATTTATGATATACGCAAAATATTGAAATTACGACGATCCTTCCAGCAAGAGCTAAATAAAATAATATGTCGACCAAAGGAAAGTTTGATAAAACAGAACGGAAGATAATTGTTTTTATTAATATTCAGTAACAAATGCGTAAAACCAAGTAAAAACTATATGTAAGATGCAATCACTAGGGCTCTATTTTACTTTGTATACAATCTACAAAGTAATTCTAAAATAAAAAAATAATTGATAAGAATCAATATATCTGTTTTAATAATGACAACAAAATCTCTTTCAATATTCATAGATCATTTCAAATATCTCAAGAATGTGTAATATTGATCAATGAAAATACAGTTGTGAATTCTAATATTAAATTTTTTATTAGAATGCAGTAAACACGGCTAAAACGAGAATCAACTAAATAAGTATCAGAAATGTTGCAAAATATTCTATCGTTTTAAATAAACTTTTAGTATTTTATTGAATACTATATTTTCTTCGTAAAAGTTAATTATGAGATTTTGAATGATAATGTTTTGATTTAATCAATGATTAATAATTTTTTTAAAGATTTGCATGTAAATAAAACGTACGTTATGAAAATTGTTCACGGCAGTAAATCCAGGAATTTAAGATTGGAATAGTGAAAAACAAATGAAAGTAATATGAAGAGATTATCATCAGAAAATTGTCTTATGCAAGAATATTATAATCGAATGATAAAATAGCATTTCGTCAAATTTTCATCTGTTATAGTTATACTATGTCTCACATTTATATTTATTTGCTTTCAATATTTCATAAACTTTGTTTTGAATAAGAAAAATTACCGTCGAGAGGGTACGCACAGTTAAGTACATGACAAAATATATTTCAATTGTCACACCAAAAGTATAGAGAGCAAGCTGAAAACTACGCAATTTAACAAAAACTATTTTCATTTTATTACAATTTTCGACTTACATTTTGATAGATTTTGTATTGTGCTATCTTTATTTTTCTTTGATCGTTGGATAATTGATTTTATTCTGATCGATAGATAAGAAAAGGGAGAGAAGATATAATGGAATAAATTTTTTTTTCAAATCTTATCTCATCTAAAATTTATCAAAATAGTTTCAGTCAATGGTCGGTTTTCGAAGAAGTCATATGAATTAGTAATATCTTTAAAAAGCTTGATCTAAACGTAAATAAGCTTATCGTTTTACTTTAAAATGGTTATATTTTAGAATAAATTAAACGTTATTGAAAAAATGTCAATGTTCCATGTGCACATTTTTATAATTTTCTTTTAACTCAAGAGGAGTTGTTGAGAGAGAGTGTGTGTGGATGGGTGGGTGTGGGTGTGGATGTGGATGTAGGTGTGAGTGACACTTTAGAAACATCGACGCCCACATCCACAACCACACCTTCACCCACACCCCCAAAATTTGGTTATTTTATTTAAACTAAACATCGAACTTTCATTCTAGAGGGATGATGAGTAAAATATGATTCTCAATCTATGTCAACAAATAAAGCACAATTACAACAAGCCCACGAGATTCAAATTAAATCAATGTTGATGTTTTTGTCTTTGGAACAAGGACTTGAGTCTTATTATTGTTCAATATCCACTTGAAATATTTCTTGCCAAGTAATGTCTCACTAAATTCTTTTTTATAACTAGTTGATGGCAAAACATAAAGAATGAAACCGAGAACTGATGGACCATACGAAAATAAATAAGCACCTAGAAGTGTATGACGCTGCCAATCACTCAATGGCTTACATGAAAAACTAAATGTAAGGATGGATTGAGGAATAGCAGAAAGAACAATGATTGTTGGTGTAATATAAAGTTCCTTCTGAGTCTTGAATTGCTTCTTCAGCACTTGACCAAGGTTCATCTTATGTCCAATTGTCTTTGCTCGACTACGAGCAGCCAAAATAATCAAGAATGTGACGCAAATCACTTGAGTAAAGAATGGAACGAGATAATGAATGAGAGTAGAAATTCGATTGTACATGGAGATGAGACTAGTGTTAAAGTTTGTTACACAAATAAATGACCTGGTAGGAGGGTGTTCAATAACTATAGAATAGATTATTTCATGCGCATGCATACCAAAAAGGACGATTGATGTGAAAACACTCATTCCGATAGATAGACGAGGATTTTTTAGAGCAGCTGAGGTTGGAAAGAGAATGATCAGAAGACGATCAATAGTAATCCAACTTGTCAACCAGTAAGTTGATCGTGTGAATACCGAAAGAAAATAGGATACTGTTTTACATGATCCATCATCAATAATTCCGGCGGCTATTTGAATAAACTTGAAAAGTAGACAGAACAAAGCAGTTTGATTTAGGCAACTGACCATCAACAAGTAATTACCAGCACCAAACTTTCGAGGTGTAGGTCGTTTGAATGTCACGAATGAACAGAAATTATTAAACAATCCAATGATGAATAGAAGGCAGACTATAGAGACATAGATGATCCTTACTTCCTTGGAGTAGTCAACAAAAAGTGAATCGACAGTGAAGCCATATGCATGCATGCTAAATTCACATCGACGTCCTTGGTGACACGAGGGACAAAGGCAAATGTAATCACTGGAATTATTTAAATCACCTTGAAGACATTTTCCTGCAGAAAAGCATTTGGAGCAATGATCATATTCGACATTGTTGATGAAACAATCTGCACGATAGTGATCTTCTTCGCATATGCAGAAATATGTGTTATCATAAAAACAAATAGATTTATTGTCATTTCGACAGATATGATGATATCTGAAAACTGATGTTGCAGATTGATTGACTTCTGAAAGTAGAAATGCATATTAATAGTATTACTGGTGGAAAAACTGACCTTTAGATATTAGTGACCAGGCATGCGGACAATTTTCTGGGAACGATGTAATATTAATTCCGGATTGATACAAAAAATATATTAGGAAATATTGTGGACGTGTTACATCTTCATAAATTTTGAGAAGTCCAAGTGGGACACTTTTCTCAGCATCATGGTAGTATCTAATTGAAGATGGCATACTACTATAAACTCGTTGATGTTCAATGATAAGCGCATAATTGACACGGTTATACTGGTACAGTTGAACAACAACCGCACGGACTGATAATATCTTTGTTATATTTAAATCAATGTGAACATATGTACTCTCATTTTGGCATCGATATCCATAGAATCGATGTGAACATTTGCAGATATAAAGATGTTCGCCACTTGGTTCATAGGTAAGAAAACAAGTCCCATTGTTTAAGCATGGATTTGAATTGCAGCCATCGTATTTCAAATTGCAATGTGGTCCGAAATGACCAATCGGACAAACGCAAGAAATTTTGTTCTTATTGTCTTGGAAGTCAGAAACAACAGGTCGGCAGAGTGCATTAGTCGGACAATAAGTCTCACAAAGAGGCTCGTACATACTACAATTTGTTCCATAATATCTACTCTTACAAGAACAATAATAAGAGTTGTTTTGGTTGAAAACTGGAAGACAAACGGAATTCTCATTGCAACCAGTGTGCACACATGAATTAAATGTCGCGTTTTCGGGCCAAGATGGAAACTTCAATACGACAGCCAAGCGAAATGCAGGTAAGTAGTCAAAATAAATTGGATAATGCCAAGAGCCGACTTCTTCTATAGTGTTGTTCTTTTCAAAAGCGAAAAGGTCAAAATGAACTGAGAATGGATGATTAATAATCACATCCGAACGATTAAAATAACGCCATCGTTTATATATAAGCATTTCGATGGATCGCGAATATAGAAGATAGAATTGATGTTTGATAATCGTATTACTTTCTACAACTGAAACAACATAAAATTCATGATGATCGATGATTCGTTTATTGAAAAGTAAATTAGCTTTGATTTGGAATATACCATCTGGAATTGTCTTCAGCGCTATTTTTTGATCAATACGTGCAATAATACTGATTCGATCACTGAACAATTCACATCGGTCACCATAATAAGCGGGAGGACATAGACATCGCATTGCATTCATATGAACAACAGCGATACCGCGATTACATTGGAATGAATGCACTTTAAAAGAATCATCGTATTGAGGATTGGTGAGGGACTTTGATAACTGATATTGATTGACTTTGAGCATGTCATTACGTGGATACTGTATCCGAGGATCGGTTCTATCGATTTCACGTTTGATTCTCACTTTCCCAAAGCGATAGGTTAGATCAGTTACAAAATCAGCGGGGCACCAATATTCATCTTCTCCATTTAAACAATCAAATTTTCCGTTGCATCGTGAGTTCTTCTTACAATGATCGTTTTCGAGACAGACGAAATCCTTTGCCTCGTTACATAGTCCATTTTTATCTCGATAACGTGAGCAAAGTATTCGATTACAGTTTCGCGGTTTTTCGCAAGCATCTGTGTACGCTATATGGACATCTTCACAATTTAGATGTAAACCCCACATCCCTCCTCCCATGCGCGAATTCAATGAAAATATATTTTTTTCATCATAGGCATTGTAACAATCTTCCTTTCCATCGCCAATCTGAGTAAGATTAATACATGGACGGTTGGATTGAATATCCAATGGATTTGATACTCCAGATAGATAACAACCAAATTGAAACGTCGTATTGCAAATATTCGAGAATGGTGATCTCGAATATTTTTTTCGACATGCTGCAAGTTTTGAAGAGAAAGTCGGTAAACGAGCGTTATGATCTGATGATTTTTCAATCAGTACAAAAGCTTCTTCATCAGACGCGTCTGAACAATCCCATTCACCATCACAAACCCAATTGAGTGGAATACATTGTCCTGTGCGACATTGATATTCATCTGTTCGGCATATCCAAAACTGACATAAAGAAGGTATTTCGTCAATATAATGGTCCATATTCCAGAAACTATCACAATGATCTCGAAAAGACATACGATTTGCTGACAACTGTTCTTGATAATTAACAGACGAACTACTGTTTTTTGAATTCCTAACAGAAGACTGTTGAATGTAAGCTTTCACATGGTCACAGTCACCGACTTCACGTGGGAAACATGTCACTTGTTGTCGGAGATCAGTTCCAGTACCAAACCAACTTTCATCATAACTATTCGAACAGTCATTATTGCCTGTGCCCAACCCTCTTAATGGAAGGCATTTGTGTTGATCGTTAAAACATTGAAAACGTTGTTGTCCTACATTTCCAGTGCAATAGTTTTTGGTAACGGCCGTTGATTCATCCTCTACGCTATAACAGTCCGGATGTCCATCGTTAATTCGATACTGCGATATACATTCCCCTGTAGAAATACATATGTCAGGATTGACAGCATATGGACGACCGTTAAATGTTAGCGAATCATTCCAACATTTCTTGTTGGTTTGATGAGGTGATAAATAATCTCGGTATATGTTTTGAGGATCCATGATTTTGCAAAGTAAATGATTAAGGATAGGAGCAGTGATTAGCTCTATTACATACCCTTCATTAAAAGCATCGCCACCTGCGTGAAAAAAAAATCCTCGGCATTTTAAGTTTCCATACAGTAGAAAAGAATCAAAAGTTGGCTTTTCCATAGATTGTCTATTGGTGTGTATGATCAAAATATTTGAATTGATTAATCCTGGTGGTGGATAAACAAGAAGGTCATTGGGATATAAACAAGAATTCACCAGTATCTGCGTACAATTCCGAGCGTTGCATGGACAATCATGCTCAAAACCTTTTGACAAAATACATCGAAACAGGTATTCACATTTTTGACTAAGGGTGAGATTTGACACATGGATCATGTTCCATGGAGGATATCGAAGATCATCATAGCCTTTATCTGGCCAACATAGTCCGTTTTCGAGTGTCCAGGTAGGTTGACGTGGGCTAGTTTCACACATGTAGTTTAGATTGCGCTTATTGAAACAGTCCTTTAGTGCGGGGTATTCTCGTTGAAATGCCATTCTCGTTTCCCATCGAATGCATTCTCCATCACCGCATGAATAATGCGCAGTTAAACATAAATGTTCATCACAATTGATTGTGTTCGGATTGACTGGACACGACTTTCCCAAATCAAAAGTATATTCATCACTCCAATCCATACAATCAAAATCACCTATGAAAGTTGTAGATGCAATTAGTAATTCATATCGAAATTGGCCGCATACTTACCATCGAGCCAAAAGTCTTCCGAGATACACATTCCATTTGTACATCGAAATTCATCATCCTCACATTCGTTGAATTCTAATTTGTCACAATTTTCTTCATCGGTACCATTTGAGCATCTCTGAATACCATCACAAATCTCTCTCCAATCAAGACATAAAGGACTTGATTCACAAGGTAGTGTTTTATAGCAGAGAATTGCACCGTATCGCTGAGTATCCCATGGGTCTCCAATTTCCTTTTGATGAAACTGAGCTTTAATTGCATCGCTAAATTTGGTTGCATAGTGAGTTAACTGGTATTCACAATACTTGCCAAACGTTCCCGGTTTTGTGCATTGGCAAAGAAATTGATTATCGTTTTCTTTAATTACTGATTGATTGTAGTAAATACTTGCATAAAGATCAGCCATTTCCGTACTCGAACTCCATTTGAGAACTTCATTTGGTTCGATATCTTCACGAAGAAGATCACGAAATGATCTCTTCTGTCCATCGTTTTCGCAGTGCGTTTGATTTCGAATTAGTGCGTAACTTCCATCTGGACGTTGGCAATAAGGAATTTCTTTTCCAATATTGTCTGTAACATAGATGCAATCGAATTTTTCTACTAGTTGATCGTTTTCAGTATTGTAGAGTAAAATTCGACTAGACGTAGTCGGAAAACTAACGATATAGATAGTTACAATCACGATTAACATCTCTGAAGAATCCATTTATGACAATGAACATTAAAATGTGCATGTTTTAAAGGAAAGGAACAAATAAAATGTATCACGTTTATCTATTTCCTGTCGACATTGCTCTCTTTTTCGCATTTAGGTTCTACCAATGAATAACGTTGAGGGTGGGTGTAGGTAAAGGTGTGGGTGTGGGTATGGGTAGGTGTGGGTGTGGGTGTGGGTGTGGGTGAGGGTGTGGGTGAGGGTGTGGGTGAGGGTGTGGGTGAGGGTGAGGGTGTGGGTGTGGCTGTGGGTGTGGCTGTGGGTGTGGGTGTGGGTGTGGGTGTGAGTGTAGTTGGAGAAGAATACAACACCTACACCCATTCACACACATACCCACACGCTTTCATTTTTATAAAAAAATCTTTGATTTCAATGAAGAATAAAGTGATAAAGAGAAAAGAGAATTGATGAAAATCTGCATTAATCATCGGACGTGTTTTAACTGAAAATAAGATATCAACTATCATCGTCAATAAATGATAGACATCATTGAATAAGTCATGATTAGTTTGATGTCTTGTTTTATTTGACTCTGTTAAATAATCTGCTTTCTCAGGACTCACTTTTAATCACGTTCTTTGTTTCTCTACGCAATAAGTATCTATGAGAAAGGGTTCCTTTGTTGAATATTTCGATCTGTTTTAGAATAAAAACTCATTAAATATATAAAAAGCAGGCTTGCTCATCACGGTACGATGTATTTTTACTAAGAGGCATGAAAAAGATGCATGAATTCAACTCGATATTCAATATATGCAAAAGCAAAACTCTAAAAATAACATCTCTGATTGAAATGGATAGGTGTATGTGTGAATGAAAGATGACTATACTTTCCACATCTTTGCTCATGCACACACTCACACTCTGCATTATATACAAAACATTATTAATTAATTTTAAAAATATTTATCTTATAAAATAATTCAAAATCAATGAAGTTTGGTTTTTCGAAGAATTTATTACTATGTTAAGACTCCATTTATTTTGTTTTATCATAGAAGTCAAAATAGATAACAATTGCTGAAATATACGCACAAAATATATATTATAAAACGAGTTAGAGAAAAACTAGGTTTTTGGTTTGTATTGGACTAATTATCATTCGAAGATTTTTGTTGTTTTTCATTTATTTTTTCATTTGCTAAATCATTTAATTCATTCCAGAAATTAACTGAACGATTATTATTATTGACACAAAATGCTCGAAAATCAGCTGACATAATATCTTGATATTTTTCTTCACCTGTTTGAGAACTTCGCCATTTTTTTCCTAAACAAAAATTCCAATACCAATAAAAATCCATAATCAAGTAGAAATAATTGGTCATCAGAAGATATTCGTGTCGATACAACACGTGTTGATCGATTATTATAATGAACACTATAAACATTTGATATTATATAAAGTAACATACTACCACTATAATATTAACATAATAAATCTTTTCATTTTTATAACTTACAAAAGCATTCAAAATAAAACCACAACTAAAAATATTTTTATTGAATAAATAGAAAATAAATTAAATTCAACAAACCGTTTTAGAATAAGTTCTTGAAAGATATTTATTCGACGAATTTGATTTTTATCAGGAAGATTAGCAAGTCTATTACGAAGACATAACAAATTTATTTTATATAAATTGAACCTAAATAATATAAAAGTTTCTTATCTATTTTTTTATTTATTTTAGTATTTGTAAATCTTATGTTGAATATAAATACCTCTAAGTGCATCAAATTCAGCAAATGGATCACATGGAATTGATACAAGATGAAATGCAACTTGATTCGAACTAAGTATTATTCCTGTACGTTGTAACCATTGTGTAATTAAATCTCCAAGTATACATAATGTAGCAACAAGCCGTCGAATTTCAAGTTCAAATAAACAATGTGGATTATAAAATGAATGATAATGTGTTGTTGTCCATTCACGTCTATCTGACATATATGTTTAGGATCAACATCAATATTACTATCACGTTTAAGAACAATTGATGTTTTTTTTAAATCTTGTTGTTCGAACTTTTATTTGTGGATTATCAATTAATTTTGGTAATAAACGCATTGGTTTACATTCACCAAAATCTAACATTGATGAAATATATGTCTGAGTTTGATGAAACTCATCTTTAGCATAATCATTTAAATCAAAAGAAACTAAAATATATTTACAAATTTCTGTTCTTTCTGTTAAAATATAATAATGAAAAAATCCAAAACGAAGACTTGTTTCTATATTTGTACAATATTAAATATATCATTCAGTAAATAAAATTGTGAAAATTTACTTGAAATAAATCTAAAGTTGTTTGTTCATTTTGTATATCTTGATAAAGTTCCATTGACTATCAAATAACTTCAATTATAATGAAAGTATGTTCTGGTAATACAGAATCTTTAACAAGTAATAAACCTTGTTGATCATCTCGGAATAAATTTAATCAATTATTTATTGCATCTTTATCACCAGATAATATATCAACTAATTTAAATGTTTCAATTGCAATTCTAAAAATAAAAAAGTTAAATCAAGAAAAATAATAAAATAAATTTATATTACAAAGTTTTTCGTTGACGTTTACAAGGGCGACGGAAGCCAGAGGCTCTGTGAGGCTTGAGCCTCACCGAAATTTAGCCTCTACAGGCTCAGCCTCACCGAAATTATGAATCTGATATCTTTTTTACGCATTCATTCATATATGTTTGATATTCATGTTGAACGATTGAAAGTCGAAGCTCTTACGGTTTTTGATTTTTGTTAATCAGTAATTAAAACAAAACAAATGAACATAAAACAAATCATAAAAATTTCAACAATTTGTGAAAGTTTAAATGCATATCAAATAGATACATAAATGTTTAAAGCAGAGGTGCAGAATAAGCCTTTCTGCGCGAACGCGCGCTCAGGAAAATTTTCGAAAAATTATTGACTTTGAAATTTTTTCCTTCAGGAAATAATAAGGAAATTTGTTTAGATGAAAATTTTATTTTATACATGAATAATCTGATGTGTTCATTAGGATACAGTATCTTTTAAGCATATCATAGTCTCTTCTCTCTTTTCATTTCTTTAACAACAATGTTCAAAAAAAACATTTGTTTTACTTGAAAACTGAAGGGAAATACATAATTCATTTTTCTGCGTTGGGGGAAATTTTTCGTTTTTAAGGAGGATTCTGCATCCCTGGTTTAAAAAATATCATAAATTATTGAAATTATATCTAACCATTTCGATTAAGATGGTCACAGCCGAATCTACATTCAGCGCCTTGAATAGAATAGAAAGTGTACTTCGTTCTTCGATGAATCAATCACGTCCCAACCATTGTTTACTACCATATATCTACAAAGAAAATCTTGATTAAATTGATCCAAATCAAATCAAGTCCAAATTCATATCATCAAACGAAAAAAGACAAACTTCTTTTGGTTCAATACTGTAGTGTTAAAGAAATGATCTGCATCTTTTTTGGAAAACTTTATCTTTCTGTAGAAATTTAGAAACTCGATTAGTCGAAGACGGAATAATTTAAACGCATTAATTTTATGATAGCAAAAGAAATCTAACAGCGACTACTGACCTATACTTCATTTATATTGTCTTATGCTAATATGTAAAAAGCTACTTTTGAGCCTCACTAGATGTTAACACGTTCCGCCACCCCTGGACGTTTAGGAGGGTCAGCTCGTTTTTTATCTGTTAATGAATCAAGAAACTAAAAGAAAAAGATGAAATTTTGTTATATTTTACTGGGTGTATACATTCAGTTGATCCAATAGGTAATCGATTAAGTTTGTTAATCATAAATAAAATCGAATAAAATGTGTAACATAAAGAAAAAAATCTTCATGTGACATTTCTTCACGACTATCACATTTTGTTTGACCAGATTCAATATTTCTGATTGTATAATCTTTTGATACAGGCATAAAAACAAGACGTGCATATGCCCATATTTTATTAACTAAGAATAAATAGAAAATTCATTGTAGTTCAATGGAAATGCGTATTCTTATCTAAATAGAGTAAATTAAATTAAAATCAAATTTGTCTTTCCCAACAAGTGAAGAGTTACCTGTATTTTAAATTTTTGATTGATTACCAATAGTTTTAATTATTATTGTGTAGACTTTAGTTGTTAATCGTGAATGAAATGAAATTGAATTAACTCTTTCGCTCTTTCTATGTGCAACAGAATTAATCAGTATTAGTGAAATATACCAATGAATAACTTTATACACAAAATGTTCAAACAACTCTATTATCTATAGATCTGAGTACCAACAGACTAAAGTTCTAAAACATTTCGAATATGATACATTATCCTATAAAAGACAGATCTGAGATAGATTCTTTTGTATCCATCTTTCTATTTATATTAACATATTGTTTATGAACCGAAAGCATGAAACAGGTAAAGGCCGAACTAAAATGTGCATAGTATCGTTTAGTAACAATATCAAATAGTTAGCCTGTATGCATGTGTCTATGAGTGAGAAACTGACAAAAAGTATTTGATTGTGCAAGATTTGATATTTAAGCATGATGTTGTGGATATACAATTATAAGCTTACTTGTATGCATCATAAATCCACTTTTAAAACAACATATTATGTTTTTTCATTCATTCATTCATTCTGTTGTGAAAAAATAGGAAATACTTAACAATAGTTTTAAAAAAGTCTTTATGTAATTATTAAGTACTTTGATTTTGTCGTGACAGAAAAGTTGAATAAAAAAACAAATTGTACCATTTTATACATTCGATTATAACGCTTTTAATAAGATCTATATTCGAATCTTTACAATGTAATATATAAGTTTTAGATGTTTTACAATAAATATATTTGTTTTTCACTCTCTATCATGAAAACTAGAGCAATGCAATGGAATAAAAAGTCATAAATAAGAATTCCAATATGATTGATGTATCTTTGGTACTGATTAAAAACTTTTCATGCCTGAGTACTTATAGTCTACGACAAAGGTTTAAACGAATGCAATTTTTTTGCATATTTATTTTTTCAATTTTTTTCTTATGTCAACAGGTATTGGTTTAATTCAGACGTTGATCTAGGTAGTATGAGAGACCTAACACATTGCTATATGATGTATTAAAGAGCATAAGTTCATTTTGTCCTTATAGATTTGCCACTGTTAAAGTGATTTTTTCTCGTGACAAAATAGATTTCCGAGCTTTTCAGTGTTTCGCATTTCCTAGTCAAGAAACTTGCACAAACATAATAACAAAATTTATCATTTGATAGAGATTTCCAAGGTCCATCAATTGCTAAAAAAACGTCTTATCTTAGATTATATTTGATAAATGCGTTAGACAAGATACTGAAATGGGAAATAATACGAATTTTCAATTTCTATCGTTAAAATTTACGAGATTTAGCATGTTTTTATTGATTTGGAATAAATTGCTTGCTTCATTTATTTTTAAGCTGATTATCCGCTAAGAGTTCTGTTATTGTTTTTCTTCAACCTATTAATATTTTTTACTTCTACGACAAGAGATGTTAGAAAAAAAAACATTATTTTTAAACATGTCTTCAAATATCTTTATTTATAAGAACAAAAAAAGAAAAACAATATAAAAAACAATAAAAGAAGAAAAATAGATAAACAGAGAAGAACAAAGCATTTACTTGAGGGTGTGGGTGTGCGTGTAGGAGAAGAAGACACCACCACACACCCTGTTATACTTTATCAAATTTCTCATAACCATGAGGTCCTAAATGTACAAAACTGAATTGAATAAGATGAAATTTTTCGTCAATCAAGAGACAAATGAATAATAAGTATGATACACTGTTGGAAGATAAATATCACTTCTTCATTTGCACTCTTTCTTCTTCATCGCAACTTTCTAACTATTTTTAGGCTTCTATATTTACCTATATTATTACCTATACCATCATCACATAGTATACTCTCATAGGAAGATAATGTTTCCGATGGAGCATTCGATGCTTGATTGATCTCCGTCTGTTTTTGTAGTAAATCATATTGATCAAAAACAACTGTAGCTGGCTGTTATTTTTGATTTTGAGGGTGCATTGTGTATATAGATTGATCTTCAAACTGTACGATAAAAGATTATTTAGCACACATAAATAAAAAGAAAACCAAGAGAAAGAGATAAGCATCCGCATCTGCTGTATATGGTTGTATTAGTAACGAAGAGAAACAAACTTACGCTTCATTTTCTCGTTTTGAATTTTTGATGATTTTATCTAGTAAGAGAAAATATTTTTTTGCCAAAATGTTTTTCTTAGTTTACCGTAATGAGGCTTAAGCAAAGCCAAGAAGTCATGTATTACCCCTAACCGTTTTATTTCTTTATTATTAATTGAGTTGTGCTCATCCTTGGCCTCCAAACGCTGTGCTTCTTTTCTCAGCTCTTGATACTAAATAAATATATATGTTATACTATTCATTATTTTATTTAAAAAGAAATATTTACTACTTCGAATAACTCTTCTGATGGTTTTGATGTAAGAGCGAAGACCAAATCAGTCTCATCTTGCATATTATATCTAAAATAATTATAAAGAAAATGGAGAGTGGATTCACAAGTTTAATTTACTTCTTCAAAGAGAAAGAAGCAAGATAAGAACAGTAACCTAGGACGATCATTCCGGCCATCGGAATCGGCGTTTTAAACGGTCATTGTTTTTCACACTATTTTAACGTGTTCGGGGATGCCGAATTACGATGATGAGACAACAACGATTTTTGTCGTTCTACACCGTTTTCACATCGTGTACGGTTGTTAACGTTGCCGTTGCTTTTGACCTGGGTAATCACATAAGTTACCAGAAACAACCAACTCTACAATGGTAGTGTACAACCAATATTTTCATCTAAACGCATATTGTCTGTTTACATTTAAGTAATAAATAAATGAGAGAATGTAATTGTTATAATCTCTTGAGACACTTGATGGCAATATATGAATTTTATTTATAAAAGAAAAAAAGCTAGAATAAATAATAATAAAAATTTTATCTTATTGTAGTTCAATTTTGAAGGTGAATAAAAGACTTAAGCTCGCCTGGATTTTTTCTTCAATATTCCACTTGTACAAGATGATGAAAAATAATTAATACGAATTACCACTTCTATTCCTGGTAAGGGTCTATCCATTAAGAATCAGACACAAATCAAAATCAAATTATTAGCTGAGAAGCTGAAAGTTCATATTTACTTGAATATTACAGAGGATGAATCATCAACTTTTGATGATGTTCTAGTCGATTATTATGATGAACGTCGTCAAAATGAATTATCAGCAATAGTTGTAAGGAAAACAGTCATTCTTAAATTAATTCAACGTGAAAATATTATTAAGTAAATATTAAACTAATATTCACGTTTATTGTATTTCTTTTAATTATTTATTTAGATTTAATTATGCAGTATTTGAATCATCGTATAATAATGATTGTAATCATTCATTCCACATTTGGAATTTCTTCCTATTGATCTTTAGAGATATATGGATGTATTTAGACTTGGTGACCGACTTAGCTCTAAACTTATTAACGTAAAAATATCGATTGAACTGAGTAAATTTTTAATTATTGACATATGTAGCCATGGTTATTAATTGTTAAGTACTATTAATGTCTTCATAATCATCGTATTTTTATTGATTATAACAGTAATAGTTTGTTGGTTTTTTTATAATTATATAAATAAAACAATTTAATTTATTAAAATAGATCATTTGAAATTAGCTGACATTGATTTAACTCATCAATATCAAATGCCGATGAGTGAACAAGGACTTATGAACTTAATGGATGTACTTATGGTTAATTGTATTTTATTTTTAAACCAATTAAATGAATGTGGTTTTTTTCTAGGTATGACTTTTGACATTTCTTGTGTCTTTGCTGAGTTGACTTGCGAGAATCAGCATTTCGTGGTGAATGTAAAACAAATCAATTATTACTTATTTTTTAATCCTATGCATTTCTTTCTTAGTCTTTTGTGTACATAAACTATTTCTGAATAGCCTGAAATTGTTTAATGTCTTTATTACACCAACACGCTCAAGAATCTACTTGTTATTTATTTATTTATATAAAATAAAACTTTTAATTACATCAACATTTTTTCATTTTACTTAATAATTCACATGTAAGTGGACTTTTTAATAATCCTGTTGTTGTAAATATGATTTCTCGACCTTTTCGTACACTTATATCATCTTCTCCATATTGTTTAATCATTTTTTCATGAAATTCTTTTACTTTTTCAGTATGACCAGCTTTTTCTAATTCTTTTACTTGTCGATAAATTTCTCCTATACCATATTTTGTTGCATTTTTCATATATTGTTCATCAACATTCCATACAGTTGGAATTTTTATTAAAACATTTTTCCACGAGTCTAATAATTTTTTATCAGTATTCTCACGAAAAGCATCTTCTTTTGAACAACCAGGCTTTGTTTGCATATCTTTTAATTGGCATACATACTTTCTTGATACGTGTGAAAAATAAGATTGAGTATGTTTAATAAAATGTTTTAATTCTCGAATACCGAAAAATTCAGGTTTTATATAAACACGTCCACCGGTATATTTACCATCGCTACGAACTTGTGGAAGTTCACCAAATAATATATGACCAAAACCACTAGGCATACCTAAATAAGATAAACTATTATAGAAAAGTTCACGTTTTTTTTTCTAAATACGTACAAGCTCCAGGAATATCCATACCATATGCAGGATAATCACGTGCACGATCTCCTTTAGAACCACGTTCACCATGATAATGTGAACTTTCATCACCACGAACATAAATAAATGTATCCGATTCAATAAGTTTTGATTTTGATTCTGATTTTTTTGCATTTTTAGTTAATGCATGAATAGCTTGACTACCCATATGTTTTAAACGTTTAAAATAACCTGCATGCTGTGCTCCATCACCTTCTTTTTGTTCAGCTTTTGCTTTCATGAATCGTTCAAATATTTTATTTATTGAATCAAATATAACAAACATACCTAAATAAATACGAAAGAGCTTTTTTTTTTAAATTTTATCATCTATTTAATTTACCTTTCGTAAATGAAATTGACTTATTATTAAGTGATGCTTGTTGAATAAAATAATGCATTAAATTACACATATTTGTGGGTGTAATAAGTTTATATGAATCATCTTCTGTTGATAATCGTCGAAAAAAATCTCGACCACTATTCGCTTTTTTAGCGGCAACGTTTAATTTAGATGAAACACAACATTCATCTGTCGTTGCTCGTTTTACATGTCTTTGATGATGAAACCAAGTAAAACTTTCAGTTATCAATGGTAAAATAATCAAAACAAGAATAATTTGCTGTATTTGCATTTCTAGTAGGTAAATGAGTACATGTATGATGAGTTATAAAAAAAAAACTTTTGAAATAGAAGATGATGAATAAATTGTTATTTATAAAGTATAAAACATATGATAAGAAAAGCAAGATATAAAATCAATTAAACGATGAAACAAAATCTTTTTAATTGACATGGCACGCTTTTTGATAGTATAGTGATAAACAGTTGCTTTTTTTATGTACATGTATGTTGTACTCGATTTTTTCTTCACATGAAATATCTGTTGAATACGAGATCAACTATAATTAAAAATAAGATATATGCATTTGCAAATGATTTACACATATAATTTGAAATCAAAAGATAACATACTGTCCAAGAATTATTCTCTTTCGTTCTTTGTTATATTTTTTTTGAGTTAAAAGCTTTATTTTATCGAATTAAAACATGAATGTATGGAACATCACTACTTAATACAATTATTTATTTATAGATCAATAAATACTGTCAAATTATATAACCAATATATATTTGTTTAGATTGATTCACCATTACGTTATATTACTTGACCTGTATATTACATGTTTCAAACTGATTTTTGCTAATAGTAGAATATATATTTACCTCTTTTTCCTTGTTAATCAGTGATTTGTATATAACACATTCATTTAGAAAAACAAATGGCTATTATCGAAATATTTGTAGATACATTCTACTAATGATTATAGTGTCAGACAGTCATACTTTGTTCACAATAGGCACAACATTGAATGAATAAATCGCTGTTCTCTATATATTCAACGTCTATACGTATCTGTCTACGATATAATGGGGCCTAATTACAGTAATAACTTTTTACTCATTATCCTCTTCAATTATAGCAACCATCTTAAGATTTTATTGATCTTATGCCGCATTTATCTACTTTCTATATCTATTTAAGATCATCTTATACTAAGAAAACAGAATTTATTTATATTTATAAATCAAAATCTTTTTTTTTCAAAACTCTACCACACACAAATTTGAATAAGCGCGTTCAATTAAAAAAAAAGCTAAAAGCCAGTAATATGATAAGATGATAACTCTATGTTATAGAAGTACAGAAAAACAAAACGCTTTTTTTGCTCGTATTATAGATAGCACACAGTGACTATAAAGAAAAGAAATAAAATATGTTGAACAATAGTCGATGTTCTTCAATATGAAGACATTATAATACGATATGATGAAAGTTTTTTTCTAATTATTTTCTGATCTTGATATTGTTCCAAGTAAAAATGTAACAGCAGTAACAAGAAATATTAATACCGTTGCAATTATTTCAAAACCAGTAGCCCATCCAATATTTGTATGATAATGTGTATTAGCATCTAGAAATAATTCATTTTTAGCAGCAGCAAATTGATCATTAGAAAATGTTGATTCTAAAATAAAATTTCTTAATAGAAAAAAACGAAAAAACAGTTGAATTTTTATTTTTTTTACGGTGAAATTTAGCATAATTTCGAAGACTATGTAAATCGAAACCTTGTAAATGTTGTGTATTATTTGATACAGTTGTTAATGGAAATGTATAATCTTCATACGTATCTCGTCGAAGATCTATATATATATATATAAAAAATTAAAAACACTATTTTTCATTTGGTAAAATCACTTACAAGCACCAACAACAATTAATGTTGTAATCATTAAAAGTAATACTAAAATGAAACAAACGAATGGACCAAAACTAAGTACCATGTTTGCACTTTCTAAAATATAAAATTTATTAATATTTAATACATAAAAACAAAATTCAAACCATTTTGTGGTGATGTAATTGTTTTTAAATAGAGTAAAAGTAAACCAAAAACAAGAAAAACTGCAGATAAGATGGTTAACCATTGTAAAGCTCTTGCTGATGGTAAATATCGACATGAACATTCTGTAGGTAATTCTGATTTTTCAACAACTGGACAATTACGACGAATATAATAACATTTTTCAAAATCTTCTGGTGAATATCTCATATAACGATTTGGTCGACAGATTCGAACGTTTGGTCGAACACCAAGTGCAACGCCTTGTTTCATTATTGTTAAATTTGTATATTCACAACGTTCCCAAAGACCATAACTAACTGGTGCCATTGTTGGTTCACGATCTCGTTTAGTTATTTTCCAGCGAGGTGAACACCTTGAAAAAAATATATTTAATTAGAATAAAATATATTTATATTAACTTACATAGCTAACAAATGAAGAATCAATGCAGCAATACCCAAAAATAGGGCAATTGACACAACCATAACACCACGAATTTGCATGATCTATTTTAATAATCGACAAATAAATAATAAAACAATCTAGAAAAATAAATTGCATAACTTTTATTGTATATATATTATATTACTATTCTCATATTTCAATTGATAGTTATTTATATATCTATATATATAGTTGTCATCACTAAAATCACTCCCATAATAAATATATCTATTATAGATCAGTATATCTTGTCATTGTCCTCAATTATAACTTCATTAATACTTCTCTTTTGCTTGATTCTATTTAACGAATAAATAATTGATACAAAATAAAATCTATTATTTTGAGATTCTTTTTTTCATTAATCAACGTATCATATTGATAATAATCAATACGAATAAGAGGAGAAAGAACGACGAGACGATATGCGTCTGTCGTCAATGCATTATTAACTTTATACTATTACTTACCCGTCTTTATGTGTCCGTTCGAGTTCACGGGCAAGAACGTACACACACACACACACACAAGTAAGAAAAAGAGAAATAATAGATACAGTTATGAACGAACGACCACAATACAAACCATTAGAAGTGCAGATATACTGTTATATATGTCTACGTACAGGACCATATACACATCGACATTCACGTATAGGTCGATGATCGGTGAAAGAAAAAGAAAAATCATAAAAGGAAAGAAAAAGAAACAAGAGGAAATCGGATGGTAGATTGATTGCCCAGAAAAAAGAACGATTAAATGAGAGAGAGAGAGAGAGAAAAGAAAATTCTCATCTTCAGACGTTGTGCTATACAACCCCATTTACTAACGGTTTGTTATCTTTTTCTCTCAAAAAAACACAAGCCAAGCATAGCATAAACACTAAAGAGAAAACAAAAAGCAACAGCAATTGAGAAAGAATCAAAAATGTTTTTATACTCTAAAATAACAAACAGACAACATAAAAGGGATAATTGGATGGGAACCATAAATAATTGTTTATTATTATCGCACATTAACAAACAAAAAGAAAAAAAGGAATTAAGCAAAAGCATAATATAAAAAACAAGACATGACAAATAATGAAATAAATAATAATCAATTATAAATTATATATGATGGAAGTTTATATTCAAATATATTAATTAAATATTACTGAACTTGTTTTAGAGCTAGAAAAACACTTAATATATGTGTAATAAATGTTAATATGATAGCAATAATTTCTGCACCGGCAGACCAGTCAATACGAGCGTAGAAACGTTCTTTATGAATTGATTTAAATACTGAAATTGCTTGACGACGTAGACTAGGATCTATAAAATTAAAAATAATATTTTTCTCAAATCTTTTAATTGATAGAAAAAAAACATTCAAATTAATACCTTCTTGAGTTCTCAAAAAAGTCTTAAGTCGATATAGATTAAATGATTCTGGTTGCATAGGTAATCGATGAAGAATTTCTTTTGGTAGTTTGATATCATAATCTTCGTATTCATTACGTCTCAAATAAGCACCTAAAAGTATTATTGTTGTAAACATTAATACTAATGCTAAACTAAGAAGTATCATAGGTGTAAAAATCAAGATGCGTGCTGCAATTGCTAAATAGAGCAAAACAAAACAAATTCTCTTTATATAACTAATCAATAATAATAACAAACCATTTTGTGGTGACGCAATTATTTTAAGATAAAAAACAAATATAGCAATTAAAAGACATATAGCTGCTAGAATAGTACAACATTGTTGTATTTGTGTAATTGATAAATATTCGCATCGACAATCTAAATGAACACCAATAATTGACGAACATTGATGACGACTTTCATAACATTTTTTAGTTATATCTTGATTAGAACTATCATAACGTAGATAAGTATTTGGTCGACAAACAAAATTTTCTATATTTGGTTGAGATGATATGTCTGGAATAACAAATGAAGTATTTGAATATTGACATCTTGTCCATAATCCATAATAATGTATTTGATCATTAGGTCCTCGAGGTTTACGTGGCACAGCTACTACCCATCGTTTACTAAACCTATAATATTCATTCATTAATACATTTTAGTAGTAAATTAAATTAATATATAAACTTACATTGCTAAAAAATGAAATATAAGTGCAGATATTGCAAAGAATAATGCAAAAGTAAGTACAAGTACCGCTCTAATACGCATTTTGTTGAAAATTTAACTAAAAACAATTCGCTATTAATAAATATTCTTAAGATATTTTTTTTTACAAACCCATTTTTATTGTATATTTAACAATAGTACGTATATTTCTATTTTCTTATCATATTTTATTCGTTTAGATTATATGTAAGAGAATGACATCAATCAAGTTGAAAAAGAGATAGATTAAAAATAACAAGTGCCATATTTATTACTTCAAAATGATAAATTATTTTTGTCTAATGATTTATCAATTGACAGATAGTATCTCAACTGTTATCATTAAAAGTAACAACAAGAAAAGCCTGGAAAATAACTAATCTATTGTGGCCCACATACATGTATTCCATCGAATTATTATATTATTCGCTTAACATGACTTGTGATCTTGATTAAACAAGAAACATTATGTATGTCATCATTAAAAAATATTTATAATTAACTACATTATCATATAGATCAAAAGTATAGAAGACTATACAAGTATGTTCATATACATATGACCTTATAACAGAAGAACAATGTCTACATAGTCTAATCAATGAGAATAATAACAGAAATAAATATAAAATAATGTTTTTGTTATTCTAGTTAGACATCTGTATATAGCAATGAATTCAATGTAGCGTAAAAACCAGAGAAATTTAACATAGAACTAATCAATCAAAGTAAATTCTCATATATATTATTTGTTTTATATAAAATCAGATCAACATACCGTTATTTTAACTTCTATATTTCGATTGATATAATATCAAAACACAAAACACACGAGTCTTCTGTATTCACAATGATCATTTACATCAACTAATAAACTCATTTTGTCTCTCTTCTCTCTGCTTATTTTATTTTTTACGCTCGAATGACTTTATATCTTTCTTTTTTTGTGTGTCTTATGTCTGTCTAAGATTGCACAGCAGTTAATTGACGATATGGATAATAATGAGCTACACCAATCCATTGTACTTGCTGTGTATCATCATTTGGTTGAGTTTGTGCACGACCAAAACCAACTTCAGTACTTACTTCATTTAATATACAGTCAACTTCTTTTGATTGATTGCCTTTCGCCATTAATAATGAAGTAAAATAGGAACCTAAAATTACAAAAAAAAAAACAAATATAAATATTAACAAATAAAAATAAATTTTTTTTCTAAGACCATCAAATGGTTGTAGAGATTTAATTGAAATAATATTTTCTCCTAATGATTGTCCATTACATTGTAAACGCCATTCAGGTCGTGATTGTTTAATAATATTCGTTCGTGCACATTGTTCTGCCCAATACTATATAAAAATATTTTAAATAAAAAAAAAATTAATTTTTAGTTTTACCTGTGCATAAATATTTAATGATTCAGTAAGTTTTAATGGTGATTTATTATACATAGCTCTCATGAAATTATGTTCTGCTAATGCTTGTCGTTGAAATTCTTCTAATGATAAATCCATCTCATCAGCTTTTTCATTCATATCATCTGATAATGGTGATAATGGTCTTGCTTGAGATGTTCTTACTACTTTATTAATTGTTGTTATATTTGGTAGTGAATTTATCATTCGCCTTGATTTTCTTGTATTTAATTCTGGATAAACTTTTGAATTTGTAACTGAAGAATTACGTGTTACAGCTGATAGTATTGACATTTTTCTATAATTAGGTTTATTATTCATATTTATTGTTGATATTGTAGATGGTGCACGCATTGGTATATTATTATCATTAACTTGATTTGCTTCTTTAATAAATTTTTGTCGATTTTTATGATACAATAATATTCCACCACCATTTAATAAGATTAGAATTAGAATTACAAGAACAACAAGGAGCCTAAATATATATGAAACATATTCTATTTCATATCTATTTTTTATAACCTACCAAATATACCAATATGTTGCAGAAAAACTTTGAATATCCATTATTATAAATTCCGACGAATGAATGAAATGATTTTTTTTTGTCATTGTTTTGTTTCAACAAAAATAATTAAAAAAAATGAAATCATAGAAAATCTTTTTATTTCTTCTGTACGAATTGTATTTGTTACAGGTATGTATATATACAATTATTATTTTACAAGAATGTGTCCTTTCAAACGAACTTTTATTAATTTATTTCATGAGTTAAATTTCTTTCTAAAAATAAAAGATCACGCTTCTATATAGTGTCTCGTGATATCATTACATATCATTGTCATTATATGAATAAAAAAACAATCTTTTATTAAAAATATATCGAAAATAACATTTGAAACAAATTAACAATAGATATTTTTCTTTCGATCTATCTATCTATCTAATTACTTTTCCTATGATAGTATGAATATTTTCAAGTAATATAGTTTGTTCTAATAATTCTTCTTCTAATTGAATTTTTTCTTTTTCTAATATATGTATTTCACTCATTTCTTTATTAATATCCAAATTATTCTTTGTCATTTCTGATGTATTTATAAATTGTTGATATTGTTTTTCAAAATTTATCGTTGTCATTGTAATATCCTGTGAATGTTGAACATTAAATTGATTAAGTGTAGTAACTAATTCAAGTATTAATGTTATTGATAATTGGGTATTTCGCATTATAACTTGTCTGTTAGTTAATTCAGATTGAATATGATTTGATTTTTGTGAGAATTCATTGATTTTTGAATGAATTATTGTTTGAGAACGATTTAATGATGCTACACATTGACAGATAAGTCCAGATAATTGTTCATCTATTTGATGAGATTTATTAAATAATTTTTGTAAGATTTCCACCTAAAGTAAATAGATGAAATCAATGAATGAATAAAAACAAGAAAAGAATATAAAATAATCTTACACCATCATTTTGAAATTTTGTAAGTTGAATAACTGCCATTTCAAGACGATCTTTTATTTTATTGAATTCATTTTCTATTTGTTTTCGTTCATTTTGAATATTTTCAATTTTTATAATACGTTTTGTTAGTGATTGTTCTTCATATTCAAGTTGTTGTTCACGAAATTTTAAATATTCAGTTTCTTGAAGAAATATTGTAGCTAATTTTAATTGCGTTTGTGAAAGAATTGTTTGTAAACTTGTATATGTTGTTATAAATGAATTTTGTGTTTTTATTGAACTTTCATGTGCTATTTGTTTTTCAAAACGAAGTTGTTCATCTAATAAACTATCTTTTTCATACGAAGAATTATTAGTTAGTTTCGAACTTGAATTTATTGTTGATTCAAAAGAAAAAAGCGATGGAGGTAGAATTGATTCATTATTATAACTATCAGTTACAGATGATGAGGCATATGTTTGTTGAATATCCATCATTTGTTGTTTAGTAAATAAAAGGAAAGAAAGAAAAAAGAAGTGATTATTTTGTTATCTAATATATTTTCATCGAGACTATCGAAAACGATGAGTCATTGTTTTATATATGATTTCGTATCAAACGACATAAAGTTAGCTCGTAAACTATTCAATTTATTTATTTTAAATTCTGAATAATAAAGTATGGAGAAGATTGATATTTTTGAATATCTCTAATAGTCAAACGACTGACTTTGAAAGAAATTATAATACTAATTGTATGAATTAGAGTTGACCTACATCTATATATGAGATCATGGTACCAAGAGATCAAATCAAGAATAAATTTTTCATACTTTTTAGTTCTTGAGTGTTCTACGGAAAAATATTTACTAGAAGAAAAAAATCTGTGTTATTCTTCATCAAAGCACAACAATACTTGAAAATTTTGATCATACTTTTGTTATTCTTGTATTATAGAACGTTTAGCGACAGTTAAGTATGAATTAATGTACGAATTGGTGGTAGAATAACTATTACGAACTAAAATAATATCAAATATTAATAGATAAATTTTGATAATTGACAAGAGATTCTATTACTAATTTCCAAGATATTCATAATTAGAGTTATTTTTATATGAATAATTATCAATCTTCATCTAAAATAATTATAAAATACTCAACCGAATGTTTTTTTGTACTTAAGTAAAAATTAAAATCGATTCGAACTTTATGTAAACATCCAAGCAACAACTTTACATTTTGTTTGTTTTTAGATACATTTCTTTATGTATTACAAAAATATTATGATCGTACACGCCCACTTCTTGATCAAAGTATAGTTACATCCTAATGTATCATATATGACTAATAAGATCAACATAGATACTTCCAATTATATCAAGAAAAATCTAGATCTTTGTATATACTATTAAATTATTTTCAACGCTCTTGAGTAGAAAACTTCACTTTGAAGTTATAAAGCATTTTCTCTTCTATTAATTTACTCTATCAATTGTACTTTTACTGAACAACAACATGTCACATCGTTTCAACTTTTTCGTTCTGTTCTCTTTTTGTTGATAAAAAGCATTAATTTATTTTTCATAAAACGGTAGAAGAAAAAAAAGATTTGATTGTTATTAGAAATTTCTTTCATTTTTATTCTCGTATAATCGATCAATCTTTTTTTTCGTTGTTTATAATCGTCACCAAAACAAAGAAACAAAATCATTTTCTCTTTATTTTTGTCTTGCCACGGTATCGCTTAATCATATTTGATTTCATAACAGTTTACATAAACGACAATAATTGCAGCAGCATAGATTTCTTTACAAAAAATGCTAGTAAGTAATTTTTATTAATTATTTTTACTTTTTATAAATGAATTTGAAAAGATAGATAGGATAAATGAAGTAATATTTATTTCTTTTCGTTTGATTTCGTTAATTGATTAATATTAATGTTTCGAAGAAAATATTATTTATTCTATTATTCTTTTTTAGTTGCATTGACGTGGAGTATTATTTTGTTTTTAATCTACGTCTTTCTTTTCTATACATGGGGTGTAAACAAACGAGAACAACTCCATCAGCTGTTGTTAACGTAACTTCGTCATTTGAACCGGTTTATGTAAAAAGTGCATTAAAAAATTCTCGATCGAAAGGAAAAGGAAAAACTGAAAGACTTTCTATGACAGAACAAGATATACGTGGACGTAGTAAATCAGTTAATTTTGATGAAAAAGTAGAAGTTAAATTACGTACACCTACACCAGGACTATATTATGATAATGAACCAACATCTAGAAAAGTTGGAAGAAGCCAGTCATTTGAGAGTGATGATAATAGCATTCAAGATGTTGATTCAGTAGTTTCATCAGCTTCATCACAAGATACTTACAATGAACATTATGAAGTACAGATAATACCTCATCCTTCATCTCGACAACGAAAAAATTCAAATGAAGCTTGGTCTAATAGTAATACAGTAGTATCACCACCGATAAATAAAATCAATGCAAAAACTATCATTTCACCATCGTTAATACAACATTCGACTAACAATACGACTGTATATCCGATAGAAAATCCGCATCTTCCAAACGGACAACCTTTAAAAGTACGTCGTCAAGTAAGCAATGCCGTTGCACCACAATCTTCACGTACAGTTATTTCGCCTGAATCCTATCCTGTGTCTTCCACGCGACCAAATGTACAATCCACTTCTCACATAACGCAACGACCATTACCAAATACGAATGCTGTAGTTGTTGAACATCATGGATCATTTTCTAATAATGAATCTTCATCACAACCTGCATATTATGCTTTTAGTCGACGAACGACTGAAAATAGAACTTCAACAAAAACTTAATATTTATACCGATGTTAAAACGAGAAAAAATTATTTATTTATTTATTTTTATGAATAGGTATAATTGTTCTTAATTATGAACTAACAATTACAATCCCATCAATAAAAATATAATAATAATAATAATGAATTGTATTAATTATAGAATTTAAAATCTGAAATATATTTATTAGTCTATTTATTGAAGAAATTATTATTTATATATAAACAAATCCTGAGAATAAAAAGTAAAGTTATTAAGTATCTGTTGATGACATTGTACCAGATTGTACTCTTGGATAAAGCTGAAATAGAAAAATATATATATACATAGATATTTTAATTGATAAATCATGTATTAATAACTTACTCCAAGATAATTTCGTGGTATATAACCTTCTTTTTCCGTATTTTCATGTTTTGCCCACCACCATTCACATTCATTATCATCTCCACGTCTTAATATTTTCAATTGATCACCATTTTTAAATTCAAGTTCATCATTTACTAATGAATCTGGTTCATAATCATATAAAGCATAAACTAATCCATCATTAATTACACCTAAATCATTTTGTACATCTAGGAAAAAAAAAGGTAAATACAACTAATAATATTGTTTTTCATTTTACTTAAAAGATATTGTGAACAATCTGTATAATTTTCTTCATCTTCTTCACATTTATCAGCAGCTGTTTCATTATCTCGAATCGTTGTTGCATATATACAAGCTCCGTGTTTAATTAAAAATTCTACTATAGATATTTGATTACATGATGCAGCACAATGTAATGATGTCCAACCATCATTATCAGCATAATTAATATCACAACCAAATTCAACTAAAAATTTAATACATTCAATATTTGCTGCACATACTGCATTATTTAAAGCTGTTAAACCTTCATCATTTGGTTGACTTATATTTTTCACCTAAAGGTATATTTAAAAATAGAAATAAAAACAAACAAAAAAAATTTATATATACGAACTTCTTTTGCAGATTTTGTAACAAGTTCAAGATCTCCAATAACAGCGGCATCAAGAAGAATTGTTAATGGATCAAATATAACACGTCGAGAAGTATTTTTAGGTGTTGTTGAAGTTTTTAATAAAGATTTCAGATTCGTATCAGATGGTAATATAGTTACTGGAAATGATAAATTTGATTCAATATCGTCAGAAACTGAACCTTCAGATTCTGTATCAGATATAAATGATTCCATTATTGATTGTTCTTCTTTGTCTTCTTCTTCTTCTTCTTCTCCTTCATTTGATTTCTTACAAGTAATTTTACTTTGAAAATCTGCAAGACTTTCATATGCAACAATAGTTGATTCTGTTTTTGATAAAGATGAATTTATGAATGAATCATCTCGAACTTGAATTGGTTGTTGTTGTTCAGTATTTGGTGATAAATATTTTATTAATGAATCACATGGATCACATAATGAATGACGTTTTTTAACATTTGATGTTTTATTATTAAAGTGAACTGAAAGTATGTCATCATTTAAACGTAGATTAGGTGGTAATAATTGTTCTTCAATTTTTATTGATTCATTTGAAAGTGGTGAAAATGATACTGATGTATTTGATGAACACATCACAGATGTTGCTACTATTTCATTTTTAGATGCAAGTGCTTGTTTAGATGTAACTATTGATGATGATGGTGAAGAATTGTTTGTCTATATATACATACAAAAGAAAAAATTATAAAAATATGAATTTGAATGAAATATCATTAGACTATTCACATTGTTAATTTCAGGTATTATCGATGTTTCATTTGTATTAATTGAATTAAATGAATTTGCTAATTGTACCATACGTTTTTCAATTTCAGCGATATTAATATTATTCAATGTATTTTGTACATTATCTAAAGCGATTTTAAAATGATTCGATGATGAAATTGTTTGAACAGGTGTTGTTGTTATTGTTTGACATATTTTTTTTTTCATTAAACTTTGTTGAATATCATTTATTCGATAATTTAATTGATTTAATTCGGCTTGTTTTGATGCATAGATTTCACGTTGATAAGTTATTTGACGATTTTGTTGTTCATTTAATTTATTTCTTATCTAAAAAATATTTTTTATTTCTTATAAAAAAAAGATCAAAAGATTAAAAAGTATTTTACTAATAGTTCTTGTTTTAATTTATCTAATTCATTTCTATTTTGTGATTGTTCTTTGTTTGCTGTTAATTTTAATTTTCTTATTTGTTCACATTGTTTTGTTAAATCATTTATTTTATGTAATGATTTGGTTAATTCATCTTCTTTGTTTAAAAATATTTGTTTTAATATATCTAATTCATTTTCTTAAAAAAAAATATATAAATGAAAAGAAAATCTTTTTGTTTTTTTAAACAAACCAAATGTTGAATTTGATATTTTGTATTGATTTATTTGATTTTCAAGTGTTCTTAAACGTAAATGTTTCATTTCTTGTTGTTGAATATTTTGTTGAAAACGTTTTGCACGTAATGTTTCTTGTTGTTTAAGATATTTAAGACGTTGTTCACGTGAGATTAATAATTGTTGATTATGTTCAATTTGTTCTTGTTGATGAGTAACTATTCCCTGTAATTCTTTTAATGAATAATCCATTACTGAATTATTTATATTTAACTAAAATCATACGTAATAAAAAGACAAGAAATAATTAGTTCTTTTTACTTTATTGATATTTGTTTGTTGTGGTTTATCATTAATAGATGTTGAACGCATTGATATTGTTAAGAATAATGATTGTCTAACACAAAGAAAAAGAAGAAGAAGAAGAAAAGGTGAACAAATGGTATGATGAGTATAGTCTACGATAAAACGGTCAAATTTCTTTTTTCCTCATTCATCTATTTCTACCAGAAGCATGACTGCTATTCATCACGATCTTTTTCTCAATACCAATAATCAATATATAGGAAAAAAAAGGAACAAAGTCTCTGTTCAATACATTAATTGTTGTAACACACACGGGAGATGAATGAGAATCGATGTTATTCTCAAGAGAACAAAAAATGTGTTCACTTTTTGATCATATTTCATAGTCAAAGAATCGATTACATGCAACATTTTTTAAATTCTTTTCTTAGTTTAATTACAAGTCATTATCTGATAAAATCTTTCTCTTATCATTCAAAGATAAAAATAAATATCTTTTCATTGAATTCAACTAATATTACGATGCTACATTTTCGATAACAATCATGCAGGTAGCACAGATTAAATGATTGTGTTTTTCATCGTAATTTTCAAACCGATAATACATTGTATTAAAAATCAAAATATGTTATTAGATGCAGCATGAGAAACTCTACAATTTACACAGGATCACTAATTTTATCATTGTACTTTTTGTTTTACAAAATGGGGAACATTTCGACCTTAGTTTATGTTCTCAATATTTTGTCCGTACTGAAGACAAAAAATGCAACTATAAAATAAGTAATATTTGTGTATATTGTAGAGCTTCTCATAAAATATTTACGGCTTGAAAATTCTAATGTAAACTTGCTGCCAGTATAAACAACATCGCATTGAGAGAATTTTTTTAGCTGTACTTTTAAATTTTAATTGTATTAATAACTTCTGATTTTGTTTTTTCCAGAAGATAAATTTTTCTCGTCAATCTGGTATTTATCATGTCAGATTTGACTTCACATGTCTATTGTCAATCATTATAATCTTTTAGTATTTTATATAATATGTAAAAAGAAAATAATTAAATGGATTTTTCAATGTACTTTTATATTTGAAAAATTTAACAATAATAAATTTATCGATAGATATTAATTAAGTATTAAAAAACAGATGACTTTTTTTTATTTCATTTGTTTGGTTATGAAAAACCATATTTGTAGTTTGAAATGGCCATGGAGAAGAATCACGTCTCTCATTACTCTGTTCTGCTTCGGGTAATAATGATTCTCGACGTAATGGATGTCGTTTAGGTTCAGATGAGTTTATAGGTGACTGAATCGTTATTGATAATGGAAGTGATGGTCCCTGATTATTATTATTTAAAAGAAATGGTGGTGGCCACTGTGGAAGAGTTTGTGTATTTAATGATTGATTATTATTTGTATTATTTACGATAAATGGAATTTCTACTACACTTGTGTTCGATGGTCTTAAAAATAGATAAAAACGAAAATAAGAATAATTAAACAACAATAAAATCATACCTTCCTCTATTAATTGTCATTCGTAAATCAGAAGTTGAACGTTGTTGTTGTGGTTGTTGTGAGTCATTTTTAAATCTACATGAACTATATGAAATATTAATAATAATAATATTATTATTATTATTGCTTTTGTAAAATACCTAAATATGCATATACAGCATAATCGAATTCTTTTACATAATGATTTTGGACAACATCGAACAATATGTGGAGATCGATCATTAGATGAACATTTATATCGACAAATCATCCATCCCAATGCTAATGCAACAAATATACCAACAACAGTTGGCCATATTATATCTTTATTATCATCATAAACTGATTCTTCAGTATGATGATCAGTTAATATTGTTGTTGTTGTTTTATTATCTAATTCATTCATGTTATTTGCATAATATATTAAATATTAAATTGAATATAAGAATTTAACATAACTAATAATGATTATACAACTCACTTCATTTATTAAAAGAAAAGAAAATAATAAGTTCATCATTTCTTTAGTCTGTATCTTTAAGTCATTTTTACATGTCAATGTAGACAGAACCGTCAAAAACGTTTTTTCACTTATTAATACCTTCTTCTTCTTTTTTTTTTCTTTGACATGGAAAAAAACCAAGACCAGACGAGAAAAGTCATATCGATTTTTCTACGATTATAATACAATTTTTTTGTCTAGAATTAAAGAGAAAAATTCAATTAAATCTTCTTCTATAAGAAAGAAAAAGCCATTCTCTCTATATTTACTTCATATTATAAAACATAAGCTATAAAAAAAGATAATTTTCTTTACACATGTTTTTATTCTAATTAAAAACATGTGAATAGAATAACATCAATATTTATTTTTAATATTTACATCAGATGTTTTATTATTATTTTTTTACTAATTAATTCTCCAAATGCTTAAATTCACACTGTTAAAATGATATAAACAAAATTTCTATAAATTAATTGTCTATTTTATATAGAATAACAGAGGTAAACATTTTTCACAATAATTGTAATTCGAAATATAATTCCTGATGTCACTGAAAGTAATGTTAAACATGTTAAAATAATACATTGTTTACGATTACGATTTGTGTAGATTTCATAACAATCGATAGAACATGAGAAAAGAAAAAATTAGTCATTATGTATATATTTATATAGAAATGTTATCAGTTAGTTAATTCAAGATGAAGAAAGAAAAACCAAATACAGATTATTTTAGGTTGCTTTTTTCTAAATAACTTTTGATAATATTGTATAATTTCGTTTTTCATACTTTATAGTCAGAATAACTATTTTCTTGATTTATTTTTATAAAAATTTAAGAATATCTCGAAGTATTGGTGAGATCTTAATATCAGTTAATTTCCATTCTAGTGAAGAAAAATCAAGTATTTCTATAATATCTTTTGTCAATTGTGGATCGATATCATTTGATCGACTAAGAAAATTAATAATTAGAATTTTTTTTCCAACATTCAATATTTAATTTACTTTGAAATATGAAAAAAATATCGTTCAGAAAATGCTGCAATACCACGAAATTGTGCAAATGTTATTCTTATATTTAATGATAAATCAAGTAAATTAATGACTTGTGTTATCAATCGTATATCTATTGTTTCCATATATACATCAGATAGAGCATCGGGAAGATTCTAAACAACAAAAAAATGTTTCTTATAATTAATAAAATATGATTAGACAAGTTTCTAGTTTATTACTTCAATAGTTAATGTTGCTTCAAAATCTTTATGTCTATCAAAAATACGTTTATAAATTGTATATCTTCGATTACTGACTCGACAATAATTTTCTAAATATTCTAAGGGAGTAAGAGCTTGAAAAAAATAAAAATATTTATTTATTATGTTCATAAGTAAAATAAGATTTACTTTCAAAAAGTTTAACATCAAAAGGTATCCAAAATCGACTTGCTTTTTGCGTTAAAGTAAAACTTGTATTTGAATAATATGGCTATAGATTTAAAAAACAGAGTTGAAATCAAATAACTATTGAATAAATTTTACTTTATTAGATTTAATTGAAAATTTCTCTTGATTGTTAAACATTATGAAAATTTTTATCGATTAGATTTAAAATACTGAATTGAATAGCATATTTTTTTGTTTTCTTATTTTGTATGAATGTATTCGATTATAGAGAATTTAATAGTTCTATTAAGATATATATATATATATATATCATAGAGTAAATACTTCAAGATTTGTAATTTTTTCTCGATAATGTTCGTCGTTTGGATAAAGAGAACAAAAAAGGAGTGTAGGTGTTTTTTTTAAATTAAATGGTTTTCTTTTCATCAGAAGTTTAAAGAAAATGAAGTTATTATGATTAATAACATAATTATATGCACGACTATTATACGTTGAGATATTTATTCATTTTAAATTATATGAGATTTTCATGCTTTTTATTTAAAAGAGAAAAGTGTAGAAATCTGCAAAATTAATTTGTTAAATTACAGTCTTATAGGATAAAATCATTATCAAAATATTTAATTTGAAATTAATTAATACTATAAATAGCATACGTTATAAATATTAAACGTGTATGTGTAAAATCAGCTTATAGGATATCATATTCTAGCGTTTTTTTTATTTATCGATCTTGTATTTAAGATTTATACGAAAAGAAAAGAATGGCTCATTTATTTGTATTGAAACATTCATATGTACTTGTTTGACATAAATTCATTTGATAACAGACTATTTCATTAGAGTATAATAATATAAGATTTATATGACTTATATAACCGTTATGTCAGTGATTAAAAGACAAATAATAAATTGACGTTAATATGTAATAAGACTATAAAGATAAAGAATAAAAGATTGAAGTTGATCCGGCCTTATCTTTCACAACAGTATGAGTTAGAGAAAAGTTCGATAAGCTATAACAACATGAAGAGAATAAAATTGCATCGAGTAAAGCGAGAGCTGATAAGGTTGTCATGGAAATCTATACTTTATTCTACAATCATACATGATAAACTCCGATAATAAATATTGAATATTACAAACATAATTAGTATAAATACAGGTGTTTTTATTGAAAGACAATATATACAAGTTGGTTCGAAAAAATGATGATAGAACATTTTATAATCAACATTTTGAACAACTGTGATAAAATAATATCAGTAATAAGAATAAAAAACTTAATATTTTTTTATTGTTTCTGCATATGTTTCGATGACAGTTTTTTTGCTGTTCGTATTGTCCTTTTCATCGCTTTGAGCCATCGCTGATATTTGTCTAGCTCTGACTCGAAATAATCTACAGTTGTGGTGATGGGTTGGCTTTTGCGGCCAGCGTTTATTCCTTCTCTTCGTGCGTCACGCAGTTCAGCAAGATATGAGCGTTTCATTCCTATTAATGCTGCTATCTAAATTGGATAAAAAATTATGTATACTAAAAAATTAAGTCTTATTTTGGTTTACATTTGTTTCATTACGATTTAATTCTTGAACGAAGACGTTTGAAGGATCTTGTTCGTTGTCCGCTTCAATTTCAATTTGATCATATATGTCATCTTCCTCGATATCTTCGTTTTGATCTTGATTGTCATGGTCATCTTCATTTTTATTTTCATCAGTTGCTGGTGTTGCTGTTGGTGTTGGTATTGGTCCTAATAAATACTGAGTTACATCAACATGAGCGTATTGACCCTGAAATAAAAATTCAAATAATATATCACATATTTCATCATATATAGATTTTTAATAGAATTTTTTAAATCGATATTATTTTAGATAAATACTATTTTAATGTATATAATCTATTTTATTTAAATGAATAAACTCAACTTACAGCCATTGTAGAACAAATCCACTTTACTAAAACTTGTCTATTTGATGTAGCTGTTTTTCTTGGTTCTAACGATACATCTAAATTGATTTCAAATAATGCTCTATATGCACTTAGTAGTTTTTGATAAGTTTGAGAGTGTGGGTGTGGATGTGGATGCTAGGGAAATACAGTATTCACACCCACACCCCAAGATAGTAGTTTTGTAGTAACATGCTGCGACCGTTCCACCTCGCCCTCTCGTGTGTTTTGTTCGCATCGGATTTCTTTCCAAGTATTTTGTGTTTGATGTTGTCAAACTCCTGTAGCTAAATAGGAAAAAAATTTAAATTTGGTTTTTATGATTTTTTTATTTACTTTTTGTCGATTATTTCGCAGTTGCATCAAAACTCCGTATAACGAGTCTTTATCATGATCGTCTACTACGGGTGCGGGTGTATCTTATTTATTGTACCCCCACCCACACCCACCCTTTAATTCATTCATATATTTTGTTTAATTCGTCTACCTAAATGAAGGCAAATAAAGAAGCTTGGTTATCAAGATTCGTTTTACTTACATTTAGTTTATTCGTTTCTATTTCTTTGATGTACATATTCACATCATCGCGGGTGTGGGTGTGAATACTGTATTCGCCTAGCATTCGCATCCACACCTACACACACACACATCATACCCATCCACACCACCATACTCATCCACACCCTCAAGGTGGTTTTCGTTTACTTGTAAAATGACCTCAACAACACCTAATGACGAGGAATATCTTGATGACGAACGCGATTATCTTATGCAAGTGTTTGTTGTAAGTTTATTAATAAAATTGAAACAATATCAAAATTAGGCATGCACCAGCACAGTCCGACTGACACTGGGTGCATGCCTTATCATCATCAACTATTTCAATTACATCAACAAATTTAGGAAACGAAACATTAACAACAGATACCCAGGACAATGGTTCCTGAAGCAGGATTCCATGAATTTCTGGAAAAATCCCTGAGGGAACTAGCTATTTCTAGGCGGAACCCGCTCGGAAAATGCCAGGAATCCGATGGAGAAGTAATGTAATCGTATCCGACTGCCGGTTTTGACTTGTTTCTGTCGGTTCCGACCCAAATCAGACAAATCCGGTCATTGGATCCGTTAATCGGGAATACTGCTTCCGTACAACTCCGAAATACCACGGAACCGGCCGTTTCTGTGCCGGATTGTTCGACCTGGATAGATTAAGTGGCTGGAATCAACATGTTAAAAAGCCTCGTCTTTCAATACAAAATTTAGAACATAAGATGAATATGAATCTGAAGATAATGGCACAGATCTTGAAGATGATGCAGAAAACGACGATATGAATATGTACATGAAGGAAATAGAAACGAATAAATACAAAGTAAGTAAAACAAATCTTGATAACCAAGCTTCTTTATTGTTCTTCATTTAGGTAGACGAATTAAACAAAATATATGAATGAATTAAAGAGTGGGTGTGGGTGCAATGAATAAGATACACACACACACACCCATATTAGACGACCATAATAAAGACTCGTTATACGAATTCTTGATGGAACTACGAAATAATCGACAAAAAGTAAATAAAAAAGCATAAAAACTAAATTTAAATTTTTTTTCTATTTAGCTATAGTAGTTAGACAACATCAAACACAAAATACTCCGAAAGAAATCCAATGCAAAAAAAACACATGAGAGGGCGAGGTGGAACGGTCGCAGCATGTTACTACAAAACTATTATCATAATGATTACAATATATACTTGGAGTGCTTACGATTAACGGGAAAAACAATCAAACGAGCAAAACAACTAGATAGCATTCGATCGTAATCCTCAACAGGCTTTTTTTGTAATTAATATTTTAAAAAATAGATTTTTTCTTCCTGAATTCTGTAAAAATTCTAACCATCTTAATCATTTATAGTTTCTAAAGATTACACTTGCTCTTTTGATACAATACTAGAATTAGAAATGCTTGATTGATTTGTAGTCGTTTTTATTTTTTTTATGATTTCTATTTCATCTATAATATCATTTTGCTTTCTTTTTAATGTAAAAGATTTACATATTGTAGTAGGAGTTTGTTCTAAGATATCGATTTCTATTGTATTATTGTCATTAGTATTATCGATTTGTTCTATTCAATCAATATAATTACTATCAATATTAATAGAACAAACAAGTGCCTCATGATAACTGTAAAATGTATAACTTTTACTTCATGACATTGATTATTTGTACATAGAAAATTTCAATATATACAATCAAGACTTGTAAAATTATTAGTAGTACTGGTATTTTTAAACATATTCGAAAAAACATAATGCACGTAGATGTGATTCGATCGGATTAGAATTATTTTCAAAGTTATCTTCATTTAAATCATCCAAAATTAGTATTCATTTATTCAGATCAATATGTTATGAATAAGAAATTATATTCTTCACAAAAGATATTTTGTTTATCTGAGATAAACGATAACAAGTTAAAATGAGAATAATTTCTTTTTCAAGTTCAATAGTCACATGTTCAAAATTCAAAGAAACTACCGGATAAACTCAATACAGGATGCTGCGCGCTTTAACAACTGACTCAGATCTTTCAGAAAAGACTTTTATTCAAGATAACTATATCATTATGTACAGTTTCATTGAATAATTTTGAGATATGGATATTTATTTTAAAATCTTTAGTTTATACTACAAATAATATTGAATATCTGTGAAGATTTTCCTAAACTTGTTTATTGACTATATTTCACTTTCATCAATTACTTTCTTTTATTCAAAAAAAAAAAGAATCCTGATTAAATTTCGTCATGTACAACAATAAACGAAAATATTCATCAAAATGTTTTGGTCGAACAAACGACTCATCTATATGAAGTCCTTTCAATTTAGAACAATAAAGTCGTGTTGCATCATTAGTAAAGTTGTTTGTTACAATTTCGAGTGATTCATATGTGATACAGAGATCCAGCAAACAAGGTAAATGAGTGTTTGTATCGACGAGAAATCGTTCAGCATAATCATCATGTGCATCAATCAGATTGAGAAGATTAAGATGAGGAAAACTAATTACTGTCGCAGGATGTTGCTTCTTTTTTAGTGGTTCCAAATTGGATATTTTCAAGTTTTTTAAAAAAGGAAAACTATCAGAAATAATTTTGAAGAATTCATGTTCAAAAGGATTTGAATCAGTCATTATTAAGCATCGAACATTTACAAACATGCCACCTTTAAAAGAATTGTTGAGATGAAGAAAACTTTTGAATTGATATGGAAGTGAATATATATGGGATTTGACTACAGCTTTCGCTTTTTCAAAATCGATGATTCTATTTGTTGGCTTTCTTGGTTCAAAATGCACATATGAACCAACTTGTCCATATTCTTTTCCAATGAAACTATTTTGAATATCTTCATTTGATGGTACATCAATTACATTATCTTCAATAAAAACACCTGTATATATATTGAAAATAAATTTGTTTAAGTGTAACATATGAACAAGTACTTCATCATATAATTCAACACCATCAATAAGAGTTGAGTCAGTCCTTATTACTGTTAGAAATAATATTAATTCTTCAAGATCTATCATTCGACGAAGTAATGGAATAATGTATTCATCAAAATCACCTGTATGACTAAATGAAGTTAATGAAAAATATTTCAATGTCGGAAGTTTTGTCTAGAAAGAAAATCATTTAATTAATTTAATCTTTTACTTCCAAACAATATTTCAAATTTACCTTGTTGTTTATTCGTTTTCGTTCATATTTGATCTCTCTGACATTGATAGTTAATTTTGATAAGCAATCGAAATGTCTATTAAGAAGACGAAGACAATCATTAAGTGTTGCAACATTTATTTTCAATTCGATTAAAGTTGAATATGTAGGACATGTTTTTGGTAATTTACAAATCGCAATAAATGAATTTCGATAAGAAAATACTTGAGAAAAATTCAAACTGATTAATCGTTGACATAGAGATAAAATCATTACAAATATATATGATGAAATTTTAGATAATAATATTGGTATTTCATCAGTCTGAATATCAATATTTAGATGTGTAATCTGTTGTGAAAGAAGATCACGAAGAATTGAATAATCTTAAAATAAAAATTCATTTCATTAATAAAAATATTAAAAAAATAAAACATACCTGTTAAATATTGATAGAGTATTTCTTCTTTAAAATCAACAAGTGACAAAGAATAAAGTTGAGAATAATTGTGAGTAAGAATACGTTCTATTGAATGTTCTTCAATAGCAAGTTGTTTAACTTGATCATGAATACTTGGTAAAATGTTTTCACATATATTTGAAAGAACTTGTTCATGTATTGAAAATGTACGTTGATAAAATGACTTGATAGTCATAAGTGTAATATTAAGATTTTGAATATAAAGAGGATCAAATACTAACTGAACAAATCGTTCATTAACATGGACAAGTGAATAAATCACATCAGCAAAATTCAATTTATTGATAATAATAAATAATATTTCATTGGGCAAGTCGAATATATTTGAATAATTGTTATTGGAAATATTCATGTTTATGTCGCTATTTTATTCATTCATGTTAGTTGATATATATGCCTAAATTTTCTTCTTGTCTTTGTGAGAATAATGACGAATAAATATTGAGGTGACAATATTGGACTATAAAGAACGGACGATGGCATTGTTCTTACTGACTAGCATTTTTTCGCATTGGTTGTCTATTCATTCGATCATTCTTCTGCTTGTCAAAACGAAGTTAATGGTATATGGTGTGAAACTTATTCTTCAGTAAAAGATTATGATTTATTTTATTTGATCAAATTAAAAAAAATAAATATCCTAAAAATGAAAGAAGCACTATGCGATTACCTATTGCGCGAGTACTCATGATTTTGATATGATGAATGACACGCCTATTCCAATAGAGTTTCATTCTCGTATGAGTGCAAATGAACAATAGAATTATCTGTGTTAGAGGACTTTTATATAGAAGATATTATATATCGTTTTTATTCTGTAGGCGTCTTTTTAGATGCATTTTAATGTATTTTGTCAATAAAACTTTTGATATGATTACTTTCAGAGAAATATGTTTTTATTATTATTAACATATCTATATTTGAATAGTATAGATAATATTTGAATCATTCACAATTAAACATGTTAAATGATAAATGATCTTTCAACAATTGACTTAGTTTATTTGTGTCATGTGAAGAATTTTGTTTTAGTTTTGTATTTTCCTGATATATATAGGTTGCATAAGCATTATCATTTCTATATTGAACATTTAATGATCAAGGATTCATCATATTTTTAATAAGATAAATAATATTTTGATGATTATTACGTATGATAGAAAGAACCTCACATTGGCATACCTTATGATGAATGACTTCATCAGATATATTCATGTTCATTAAAACAATGATTGGGCGTGGTTTCTATTCATCCTCATAGACACATCGTGTACACGATGCAAATTCATCGTAAAAATATCAAATCCTGCTAGATTATACCGATGACTTGATTGAATCATACGATTTTCTATTCAAAATTGTAATATTTGAATTACAACTTTTGCATCATGCATGTATTTTTTCAGGTCTATTTTGAGAGGGAAGATAAGCCCAAAATCGAATATCTCTAAAACAGAAAAAAACGTTCCTATGACTGTATCATCAAGCAACATCATTTTCGATCGCTGGGAATTCTTTCAATATCTGAAGAGAAAGGGAGAAATGATGATTTTCATATATTAAAAGAATGTTCAACTTCGAAGATGTACTGGAAAGAGGAATTTTATTTTTTCAATAATAAACAAATAAAAAAAGAAAAGAAAATTTACCTTATCTATGAATAAGTTATAAGAAAACCTTATTTTTTATTTCCAATAGAATCAATATCTTAAATTATACTGAATTTCGTTTTTTAGATAAGGTTTTCAAATCGTTTAAAATAAATGGAAAAAGAATGTATATTCAAACCTCTTTTTATTGTTACAAGTAGACAAAAAAAACTTTCTATTTGTAGTTTTATTTCATTTGTTGTTAATTAATTGGCAGATGTGAAATCTAGATTCAACAAATGGTTTCATTTTATTTAACAAGAAGCTACTGAAAAAGTTGAAGAAATTAAAGCTAAAGCTTAAGAAGAATTTAATATATATAATATAATATCTAATATGAAAGTATTGTATACAATAATACTATCGAGATAATAATTCAGTAACGTAGTACTTCAGTTTAAGATAAATATGAAAACTGATAGATTTCTTATCTGTTTGACAAATGAAATCAAAATCTCTACACAAAAATATGTATCTCTCGTCGAATATGCGCGATTATGTACGGCTGCTATTTTTATTTTTATCTACAGGATGGATGTGAATATGAGTAGGACACAGCTGCACTCACATCCACATCCTCAACTCTTTCACTTATTTTATTTATGATGAAAGAAATATATAATAACAGAAAGAAAATTATTATTTAAAAAATGTCAGAAGTTTTTGTCCTTTTGTAACAATCATTTTAATTTTATTATTATCATTGATATTCGTCATCCAAATCATATTAATTATATCAGAATCAAATTCATTTGTTGAAATATTAATTGGTTGTCCTTTCGAATCAATCATTAATCGATATGTACTTCCAACAAACCACGATTTATAAGGAGACCATTCAGAAAGCCATACATCACGTGTCCATCCATTGAAACGAAAACCTGTATGAAGTTTATGTAATGATGATGAAAATATATCAACACGCCATATACCATTCCATTCAACAATAAGTAAACCAAAAATATAGGAATCATTATTTTTGTCTTTCGATGATCGAATTAAAGCAATATCTTCTGATACTGAATCACATAAATGTCGTCGTTTCCAAATACGTTTTCCTTTTGGATATGTATCTAAATATTCACCAAAACGATATAAAATAAATAAACGTTGATCATTTGTTGAACAAATAGATGACATTGAACGATTTTCTTGTAATAAACTATAATCATTTATTAATTCAATTTTACCTATTGATGGATTTAATTTATAGAGACATGTTGTTGTAAGAAAAATAAATGAATCAAAATCAGATGAATAACACATATCAACTAATAATGATGGAACATAGAGACACATTATTTGATTACAATTATTATTGAATAAACGAATTAAAGGTCGTGGATATTCATCATAAGTGACTATAAATAATTCAGATGAAGTAATTAAAGGTACAAATGAATGTTCTATTGCATATTTTTTTACAGGAAATACTGATGCAGATAATGACATCATCCATAATGAAAAATATTTTATAAATTACTTAGAATGATCTTTTATGGAATAGAGATTGTATTAGTTTATGCCTTACTTTTTAACTTTCTTTGAGAGAAAATCGTCAAAGATAAATATTAATAACGATCGAAACGTGACTAAGAAAAGAAAAAGAACTAACAAACTATCTATCTAATCTAATATAGAAACTGTTATACCCAATCTTATAAAGAAAGAATTACTGACCTATTTAAATCATCAAAATGATTAAAAGAAAATTTCTTTACTAACTTTTTTTATGAAAATCAAATAATATTTTCATTGCTAAGAAGAATGCTCTTTCCAATAAAAAGAAGATAGTCGAGGTAAAAACGTAGTTAGAAAAAGCGAATATTTCAATTAGAAATATGAATGCAGATAATAATTCGATTTGTCTATAAGTGCAAAAACTATCAGCTGAAAAATAAAAATATATAAAATAATACATGTATATACAATAAAAATGATATATAGCATCTTGTACATAAAAGTCTTCTAACACAGATAATTTTGTTATTCGTTTGTATTCATATCAGAATCAAACTTTGTTGGAACATCCTTATCATTCATCATATCAAGATCATGAGTACTCGAGCAATAGATAATCGCATAGTGCTTTTTCAATTTGATCAACTAAAACAAATTATGGTATTTTACTGAAAAATAAGTTTTACACTCTGTGTTATCAAGTTTCTATTGTCTTTTTGACTCAACTCAGTCTTATGCCAAAGATGACAGTATGTACAAAAAAGAGCATATGAAATGATACTTATTTTCAAAAACAGAAGAATGATCTAATGAATAGATAGATGACTAATGCAAAAAAATGCTAGTCAGTAAAAACAATGCCATCATCCATCCGTCATAGTCTAATATTATAACCTCAATATTTATTCGTCATTATTCTCACAAAGACAAGAAGAAAATTTAGGCATATATATCAACTAACATGAATGAACAAAATAGCGACATAAACATGAATATTTCCAATAACAATTATTCAAATATATTCGACTTGCCCAATGAAATATTATTTATTATTATCAATAAATTGAATTTTGCTGATGTGATTTATTCACTTGTCCATGTTAATGAACGATTTATTCAACTACTATTTGATCCTCTTTATATTCAAAATCTTAATATTACACTTATGACTATCAAGTCATTTTATCAACGTACATTTTCAGTATCTGAACAAGTTCTTTCAAATATTTGTGAAAACATTTTACCAAGTATTCATGATCAAGTTAAACAACTTGCTATTGAAGAACATTCAATAGAACGTATTCTTACTCACAATTATTCTCAACTTTATTCTTTATCACTTGTTGATTTTAAAGAAGAAATACTCTATCAATATCTAACAGGTAGATTTTATTTTTAATATTTTCATTGATGAAATGAATTTTTGTTTTAAGATCATTCAGCTCTTTGTAATCTGCTTGCACATCAAATCACACATCTAAATATTGATATTCAGACTGATGAAATACCAAAATTATTAACTAAAACTTCATCAGATATATTTCTATTGATTTTATCTCTATGTCAACGATTAATCAATCTGAATTTTTCTCAATTATTTTCTTATCGAAATTCATTCCTTTTGATTTATAAATTACCAAAAACATGTTATACATATTCAACTTTAATCGAATTGAAAATAAATGTTGCAACATTTAATGCTTGTCTTTGTCTTCTTAATGGACGTTTTGATTCTTTATCAAAACTAACTATTAATGTGAGAGAGGTCAAATGTGGACCAAAACGAATAAACAACAAGGTAAATTTGAAATATTGTTTTGAGAAAAAAGATTAAATTAAATAAATGGTTTTCTTTCTAGACAAAACTTCCGACATTGAAATACTTCTCATTAACTTCATTTAATATCATACATGACTATGATAAATACATTATTCCATTACTTCGTCGAATGATAAATCTTGAAGAGTTAATATTATTTCTATCAGTAATACGGATTGACTCAACTCTTATTGATGGTATTGAATTATACGATCAAGTACTTGTTCATATGTTACACTTAAACAAATTTGTTTTCAGTATAAATACAGCTGTTTTTATTGTGAAAAATGAAATTGATGTACCATCAAATCAAGACATACAAGATAGTTTCATTGGAAGAGGATATGCACAAGTTGGTTCATTTGCACATTTTGAACCAAGAACATCAAAAGATAGAATCCTCGGTTCTAAACAAATAAAGGCTGTAGTGATATCTCATATATATTCACTTCCATATCAATTCGAAAGTTTTCTGTATCTCAACAATTCTTTTCAAGGTGGCATGTTTGTTACTGTCCAATGCTTGACAATGACTGATTCATATCTTTTTGAACATGAATTCTTCAATGTTATTTCTGATAGTTTTCCTTTTTTAAAATATTTGAAGATATCCAATTGGAAAGCACAAAAAAACAAGCGACATTCTTCGACACTAATTAATTTTCCTCATCTTAATCTTCTCAATCTGATTGATGCACATGATGATTATGCTGAACTATTTCTCGTCGATACAAACACTCATTTACCTTGTTTGTTGGATCTCTGCATCACATATGAATCACTGGAAATTGTAACAAACAACTTTACTAATGATGCAACACGGTTTTGTTGTTCTAAACTAAAAGGACTTCATATAGATGAGTCGTTTGTTCGACGAAAACATTTTGATGAATATTTTCCTGTATTGTTGTATATGACGAAATTTAATCAGGATTCTTTGTTTTTTGAATAAAAGAAAGTAATTAATAAAGGTGAACTACGTTTGAATTAGCTAAAATAAAATTACTAATGGACTAAAATACAGTCACCTCTGTTCATTTGAACTTGATCATCAATTGTATGATGATAAATGTGTTATGATATATAAATGTTGTCTAAATGATCGAGATATTCCGAAGAAATGAAACAAGATTATATCAATTGATAATAATAGACTTTCTAAATATTCTTTTTCTGATTCTTAATCTTATAACATTTTTTTTCTTCGTTAATAAATGGTGATTAGGTTTTAAATATAAATATTACTTATTTCAATATAGATAAACTACAAGATTGTTCATTTTTTTTTGTAAAACTAGAGAATCGATCTCATTTTGACATATATGCCATTAGTCAAAATCGACTGGGATAGAACTGATTGTGTAAATAAGAAATAATTTTGTTTACAAAAAAGTAAAATTTTCTATAAAAATCTTTTTAGATGTTAGTAATTCCAGTGGATAATAAGATTGAATTTTTTGAAAGTGAAAAATGGACAACAAAAAGAACATATGAAAATGATTTAATTCATAAAGTTAGTTTTTTTTCTTATTCGAAAAAATAAAAAAGATTTTTTAATTTAAAAATATATCATTTTTTTTAAATAAAATATTTCAGGATGAAGATGTTGCTACCGTTGCGTTTGATATTTGTCCCAAGGGTGTGGATGTGGGTGTATCCTATTTATTGCACCCACACCCCTACCCATTCTTTAATTCGTTCATATATTTTTTGTAATTCGTCTACCTAAGTAAGGAACAATAAAGAAGCTTGGTTATCAAGATTCGTTTTACTTACATTTAGTTTACTCTTGTATATTTGTTAGATTTGTATATACAAACTATCCTTTTCGGAATCATTTTCAAAATCTGCCCAGGTCGAACAATCCGGCACGGAAACGGCCGGTTCCATGGTATTCCAAGGATTTTGTCGGAAATTCATGGAATAGTGCTTCAGGAACCATCGACCTTGGTGGGTCGTAATCTTCAGATTCATCTTGTATTGTGAGACGAGGCTTTTTAACATATTGATTCTTGAGGGATGCGTGTGGATGTCGATGTGAATACTGTATTCGCCTGGCATTCGCATCCACACCTACACACACACACCATACCCATCCACACCCATCCACCCACACCCTCAAGATGGTTTTCGTTTACTTGTAAAATGACCTCAACAACACCTAATGACGAGGAATATCTTGATGACGAACGCGATTATCTTATGCAAGTGTTTGTTGTAAGTTTATTAATAAAATTGAAACAATATCAAAATTAGGCATGCACCAGTACAGTCCGACTGGCACTGGGTGCAAGCCTTATCATCATCAAGTATTTCAATTACATCAACAAATTTAGGAAACGAAACATTAACAACAGATACCAGGACAATGGTTCCTGAAGCAAGATTCCATGAATTTCTGGCAAAATCCCTGAGGGAACTCGCTATTTCTAGGCGGAACCCGCTAGGAAAATGCCAGGAATCCGATGGAGAAGTAAGGTAATCGTATCCGACTGCCGGTTTTGACTTGTTTCTGTCGGTTCCGGCCCAAATCAGACAAATCCGGTCATTGGATCCGTTAATCGGGAATACCGCTTCCGTGCAACTCCGAAATACCACGGAACCGGCCGTTTCCGTGCCGGATTATTGGACCTGGATAGATTTTGAAAATGATCCTGAAAAGGATAGTTTATATATGCAAATACAACAAATACGCAAGAGTAAACTAAATGAAAGAAGAACGAATAAAAAAAAACATACGATGACGGATGTCTATTCTAAAAGAAATTCTTAAATATCACAAATGCATGTTGTCCATACTAAACGCAAAGAAAGAAGCAGAAGCAACATCTCCATGTTAAAATTTTTAAAAAAAATAAAATATTTTATAAATTATTTAAAACGATTTTTTATCAAACAAAAGCTGAATCATAGATATGATTATATTAGTTTATGCTTTACTGTTTAATTTTCCTTGTAAGAAAATCGCAAAAGATAAATATTAATAACAATCGAAACGTGTCTACAAAAAGAAAAAGAACTAACAAGCTATCTAATCTAATATACAAACTGTTATACCCGATCCTATAAAGAAAGAAAAATTTCTTTATTTATGTTGCTTACAGAAACCTTTGTTCAGTATATTGTTTTCTTACCTATTTGTGAAAAGGTAAATTTTTTCTTATTGAGATTTGTAGAGATACTTAACCTCTTCAGACATGTCTCTACCATTGAGCTGTGAGTACAGAACGTACAGCCATTTATCGTTATGACTGATTTTTCTACTTGAAAGATATTCACTACATTTACATAAGCTTTTGTTTTTGAAAACATCGATTCTTTCATATTATAAGAAACAAAACAAAAACGAAGATGAACGATAAATAGAAAAAAAACTAGTCTAATTAGATAATACAATATCACAGATAGAATAAAAAATAAAAATAAAAATGTAATTAAATATCATCAGCATCAAGATTTGTTTTCATTGATGACATTAATGATGTTCTTTTTAATGTTACTAATGGTGGTGGTGGTGGTGTTAGAACTATATCTCTTGGATTAATATACATATTTAATTTTCTTGATGGAATATCTTTAAGATAATTATTAATATCTGTTGCTGATATTGATCCTGAATCAAAATGTCGAAATTTAATTTGATTATTATTTGTATTTGATAATGTTGTAAATGTATCTGAATCAATAGCTGTATGTGGACTTGATGAAGAATTTGATGTTGATCTTTGAAAATATTTATCACGATATTGATGATGATGATAATATAATCCATATACACAAAGTATTACTAAACAACCCATTAAAAACGATATTAAACTCATTAAGACCAGATGAATTAATGTAAAACGATAATCATTAAAAAATGGAAAATATGATGGACATAAACATGAACGTTCTTCACGTGATAAACCATTACATGTATTTGTCAAACATATACGAGTACGAAATTTAGTTGAATATGATTGTGTAGATGTACATAAAGAACATTCAGACCAATCTGTCCAACAAGACCAATTACTTTTTAATTGTGATGAACAAAATGAACAATCACGTTTTTCAATATTTTTACCAATACATTGATTATCTAAACATGTACGACGACGTGTTTGAATTGATCCAGCAATACCACAAGATGGATAACATTCTTTAAAAAATAAAAATTAATTATGAAAAACTGATATATGTATATATTAAAATATTTACCACTCCAATGAGACCATTGAGACCATTGACCAAGTGAATCTGAAAAGAAATATATTTAATATTTATTTAAACATAAACAAAATAAAATTACCTCTTTCTTGACAATAATTTCCATTATGATCACATATTCTATACATAATCTTATCTGATTTGATTACTAACGATTGTTGATCAGTTGTCAAAGGTATTGTACAAACAAATCGATTACGTATTTCTCTTATCATATCATCATTATTTAATTCATCATCGTTCGATATAATTCTCGTCCAATTACTCCACATTGTCGTTTGTTCAACTAGGAAAAAAAACAAAATAACAATAATTATTTTATTAATAATTTAAATTTTTACTTGGACAAGGTAATTCATTACATATACGTATTTCATCTAAACATTCATTACATATTCCATTATTATTTAAACATGTTCGTCTTCGTTTTTGTATTCCTCCTCCACATACTTTTGAACATAAACTCCATTCTATATAATAGAGAAGAAAAAAAAATGAAATCAATAAAAAAAATAAATTCATAGTTAATATTACCACTCCAAGTACTTAATCTTGAAGTTTCACTTGAACAGATTATTTCCGGACATGGTTCTTCTTCACGTTCAGATCCAATACAAATTCTTCCATTATTTTTCGGTTCAGGATTAGTACAAGTTCGTGTTCTTGATCGAAATATTTTACCACATATTTGCGGACATATACTCCAATCACTCCATGGTGACCAACCACCATGAACTATATATATATATACAAAAAAGAAATAAAAAAATCATTTCAAATATATCTTTCTTTTACCTTCACATCGATTTATTTCAATTTGATTTCCTTGACAGAATTTTCCATTATATTGTGGTTTCGGTTGTGTACATGATCTCATACGACAATGGCATTTTTCACCTGTATCTTGTTCACATAGAAACCATGATGACCAAGATGTCCAACCACCATCAACTAAATTATTTTATATGCAAATATTAGAACTATTATTTCTATATATATAAGTACTTGTAATATTCAAATTTGGACATGTTAATGATTGATAAGAAATGCTCGATGATGATGATTCAGTAGATAAAATACATCGTTGATAATGATTATTCCATGTACAATATGGATCCATTGATGCAGAACAAAGATAACTTGTATTAAAACGATTACAACGTGCAACAGATATTTTTAATACAGATATTGAAGTTGTTATAACAATTTCTTTCTATGAAGATAAATTTTGTTATGTAAAAATATTTCATGAGAAAAAAACTAAAATATTATTCTTACGGTTTTCGAAATAAATTCTGCTTTATTTATTTTCCATGAATTTGCTGATATCATCGGTGATTTTAATTGAATTTGTTCAATTAAACATAGTTTTCTATCAAGTAATAATGAATATTTTCTTAACCATAAACCATCCAACGTAATAACCAATAAAATAGTTATATCATTCAATTGATCAACTAATAAATGACCAATATGAATATCATCGAACACGAGTGCATCAAATGATGATTGAAGAACACCTGATCGAAGTACAGGTCCTAATGGAATTGATGAAATGTTATTTGATTGATTTGATTCACACTAGAAAAATTATTTTTATATTAAGTATGTTCATGTATATAAAGTCGCTAGAGACTAATCTTATTTATAAAAATCAAAGAGATCTGAAGACCTGTAAATTCTTGATCTTTCGTTATTTTTGGAAGAAAACTTATTTGTTAGTATTAGAATTCCTTCACAGATACTATAGAGGATTTGCTAACCAACAGACTTCAATTCGAAATTTATGGTCACGATGTTTTCCGAAGACTGTGTGCGGATAATATATTAACCTGTCATTCACACCCTCAAGATGGATTCGAATAAACAACTGTCTTGGTTTATATCCAATGACCTTTGCTACCGGCTGCTAAGACTTGTAATAGGAAAGGGAAGGACAGCCGCCAAGCCTTGATTTATAACTCACAGTTATTATTTTCCTTCGTAAAATATGTAAGTTCTATATCAATCGAAATTGAGATTTCTATACGAGTAAAGAACTATTAGACGTTGAATCTTGTCAATAAGTATAGATTTATATTAATGGACATTTAATAACTTTGTTGATATATAGAAAGTTATACTTAAAAAAATAATAAGTTTTACTGAAGAACAGAACAAACGTTTTCTTTTCTTTTTTATTGATTTACTTTTTCTGCTTCTTGTTTCATCGAAGATGGTAACCAATATGATTCATTAGATTTTTGTGTTAGAAAGGATGATTTAAAAACACTTTCAAGTTCATCAACTGTATAAATACAAATAGCTGATCCCACTAAACCACTTCTAAAATCAAAGAATTTTATTTTGTTATACAAAACCGTATAAAATTAAATTTTTTTTTTTACTTTTGTAAATTAAATGCTCCATAAATAAAATTTAATGCTGAATCATAATAAATTGATTGTAATTCATTAAAATCAAATGATGTTATTTCATTTAATAATTTTTTCGAACATGATAAACGTAATTTTGAATATGAACGAAATGTATCACTATATTTCATCATACCATCGTCATATTTACATACACGTGCAATACGAGAATAAACATTCTAATAAAATAATCATAGATATATTATTTAAAAAACAAAAATTTCTTACTGTGCCACATGAAAGATGTTCAAGAGATATTTCACGAAAAAATGTATAAATATATTGTCCAATATTTAATATTCGAACAAAATATGGATCTAAAATTAATAATTAACGTTAATAGTTTACTAAAAAAATTTTATTCGAACTTACTTTTTAACCAATTTGAATCATGTTGTTGTGTTCGTAATTGTTTATTTTGACTAAAACTTTTTTGTATTAATGGATCATTAATACCAAATAATGGTTCATTACTTGTAGCAGAATATAATTCACCTAAAAATAGATCTTATTTGTCTTAAATTTATTGATGAATATTTACCTGTATCAATAAGATTGTATACTGATGAATATTGACTATTATATGGAGATTTTCCATCACCAGGAATAAATTTTTCATTTGAAATAATTGTTGAAAGTGAATCTGGTTGACGCCATATACAAATTGGTTGATAAGAATTTGTACCACAAGTTAATAATAATTGATCAGAAGAACGAAGAGCTAAGACACGAATATAATTCTCACATTCATTCTAAATTTAAAATTATAAAGAATAATTTTGTTTTAAACAAATAAACGAAAATTCATACACTTGATTTCATTTGACTACGACAAATATTTATTTCATTTATTGATGATTCCCATTGAAATCTTTCTAATACATGAAAATCATCAATTGATAAACGTATTATTGCATTTCTAAATTTATATTTTATTATATAGATATACATATATAAACTAATATTTTTACTTTGCTCCAATAATTATTTGATTTCTTTGTTGATCAATTACAATTGCATCAAACACATCATCACCATTTTGATAAACTTCCATATTATATAATGATTCTAAAATGAAATATAATTCAATCTTCATTACAAACTAAAGTCAAATAGTATTGTTAAGAGAAAACGCAATAGATTGAATAAAGATCTAATAACTGAAGAGAAATAATTAACCATTAGCACATATTTAAGTCTTAACACTTGTAGATAAGAATATCAATATACATACCATTATATGAAATAAATCGAAAATCATATAGATCATCGGTAATAATCGGATGAATATTAAATAAAATAAGATAAAGAATCATAATCAATTGACTCTTGAACATATTTAAATTGCTCATAGTTCAATCTGAAATAAAAAATACATATGTCTGTACAATTCTACGGAATGATCATCATTGAACATTAAGAGGAAGAAAAAGAATATTTTTTTCTCCTTCTCCCTCTCTCATTGCGTTCTCTTATCCAAGGCGAAAGAGAAGATTTGAATCAATATTTCTTTCTCTTTCTCTTTTCTCTATCAGGACGGATATGAAAGGCAAAAAGCTTAAGTACAATAACTTAAACGAATAAAAATAATAACAAGGACATATTATTGAACAGTAAAATCTTATTTTATGAACAGTAAAAGAATCGTTTATCATACGATAATACCATAAAAAATGCTTATGGTGTAACTATAATTAAGCTTATTAGTTCAAGCGAACATTTTCATTGATTCCATCTGTTCATTTTTCTGAATATCTGCACAGTAAATTTCATCAAACAGAAATATCTATTCCTACGAGGCAAACATTTTTTTCTCTTCTTCTTCTTCATGTGGCGAAACATATTTTTTGATAATTGTTATAAAATGTATTTACTTGTTCATCAATTAATAGACCCTGACACAACGTCGGCATCAACCATCTTTGCTTTTCTATATACAATTACGCTGTACAGACGATGATTGTCAATGACTATTATTTGATCGAAGGAGGCGCAAAAGGAAAGAAACACTTGTTACATCATCATCATCATCATCATATTTGTCGATCAAAGATTTAATGAACATATTGTCATTTAGTCACACCTCATGCTCATGTATAGATAGATATGTCATCAAGAAACAACGAATAAATTTCCTTTCTAATGTCATTAAATAGAAATATATATATAT